AGTCGAACGGGTGTACTTATTTCGAAAAGGGGTTACATATAATAGAAAGAGGAAAAATCCTACTGCTTTGTTGCGAAAACTCCAATTCATCTTTCTGCATTCGAAAAGTAGGTTAGAAATCAACTAAAGCGGTTCTGAAGCGAACAGATCTGGCTAAATTCCCTGTTTCATTATTATTCGTCTCAGCAAATCTTAAGCAGTATTTTTTTAAGTACTTGAATGGATTTTCATATCACAAAGCAAGGATTACAATTCCGTGAAGTTCAATTCAATTCTACTTAAAAAGTACACAATTTACAGAACTTAGGGATAGAGAAGCCCCGCGACTTCGTTTCTGCGATTTTACTAATTGTTCGCATTTGTCAAATAACTCAAAGTAAGCAAACATGATAGCTAAACTGGAAAGACATTTGCATTTTCTAACGGACCCCTACCAGTAATTTTGTTTGGTACTACACTTTTTTTTTAAATTTCACGGATTTTTCTTGGGCTGGGACAGCTTCCAACACAGCTACCCTGTAGCTGTATACCCTGTATACGGCCACTGAAGCAACCTTTGTAGGCCTTTGAGGCTGGGGTCCGACCCAGAGTCGCCGACTATCCAACTAGACGATACAAAGGACGCGGCGCAACCAGTTCACTGGACACCTGCGACTGGCACGGCTTTAAGCCTTCAAAACTTCAAAACTGGCCACGCGTGCGGTCAGTGGACTTGGGAGTTGGAGGGGTTGGTAAAATGGTACAGGATCATGGTCTCAGGTCGGCGAAGGGATCGAGGGGATCGGAGGCACTGAAGACACGCGCTCAGTAATATGCCTCTAAAGTGGTGTTCCCCGAGCGGACAAGGTCACTTTTCTACGAAGAGATGGAATGCCCTACATGAAGTCCAGTTAGTGTACCCGAAAATATATACCCTTGCATTAAATATTTAGTCAGAGTTTCGTAGAGTGTATGTATATCCGATCATCGTGTTAGTGAAGTATGTGCAGGGAGTGAAATTGACCAAATTTGCATTGCCGCCGGCTTTGAATCCCTTATAAAAAACCATTGCGCGTGCGCATCCCGCCGCCCCGCCACCCCCCTCTTGCACCATCGGCAACAGGTTTGTGAACAATTACTTCCACCCTCCCGCCATTTAATCGGTTGCTCAAATATATTTTTTATTCCGTTGCCGATTGCTCACACATTTAATTTTCCCATTGTTCGCCGTTTGCCGCTCGCAGCAAATTTCGTAACCAGTTGCAATCCTGTTGCCTCTGATTCCCGAGGGCCCACCCCTGAAAGTGCAATAATGCTTTTACCTCGGCCCCTAATCGCGTTGCCATCACATACGAGTTTATCAAGTGAAATATAGTTTAAGCCACATAGTTTCTAGCATCATGCAAAGGGATCGAGGTACTGCACTAATTGCACTAATTTGAGCACAAGCACCACCCACCGGCTGAATCGGCGACTTTCAGGCAGCTTCAGCAGTTGGCCGAAAGTTACCAGCGATCCCTAGCGCAAACACCCCTAATCCTGGCGGAACTTAATGCCCAGGACCTTTCTGGTGGCATTGTTTGCTGCACACAGGGGTTGCTCTAAGGAGAGCGAGACAGCAAGCGTGGAAAGGGACGCAGAGCGGGACGAAGGGGCGAGGGGCGAGGCGCAGAGCTGGCGAACGATTGCTGTGCAGCAGGAGCAGATGTTTTTCGCGGCAGAATGACGATGCAGGATCGCTGGCGATCAGCGACCCCAGCACGGGACACGGGACACGGACACGATACATATGGAATATGCTCTATGTATATATAAAACGGAACAAAGGGCATTAGAGCGGGAAGGGGCTAGCGAGAGGGAGGCAGAACGAATGCGAGGGAGATCCACGAAACTTGTTTTTGGGGTAAACTCAAATTAGACTAAGAAATCATAAAACGTGCAATCGAAATTTCGAGGTATATGTGAAGTTCAAGTTTTTAAAATGAAACAAATGCCTTTGTCACAAAACGGTGTTTTTTGGGGCCCTAAATATTAAATATTTGCTCCTAAGCATACGCTAAAATGAACATATCCTGCACATTCATATACTCTTAGCTTTTCTCCGGTGTATTGCCTAAATTATAGTCCTTCCCTTGTGTACACTTGAGCCTGGGGCGGAATTTGCCCAGATTTGATCAGGATCGATACCGGAATACCGGATAAGATAGAAAGAGCGCCTAGCCCAAAAGAGCGAAGCAGTAGGGGAGAGGAGTGAGCGAGAAAGGAAATGAGAAGCCAGGTGAGGGTGAGGATAATTTATTATTGTTCGGAAACCCCCGAAAGCGCGCCAAAGGTCCCCGATACCCTAAAATCCAAAAAAGGGCATGGCCGAAGTGTCCCCGACACTGAGAGAAAAGTATGAGAATTGTACATTTCAAAAATGGTTAAGAATGTATTGGTATAGTATTTACCAATACCAATAAATATGTACCATTAATATTACAAGATTAAACAATTTTAGTTATGTGCAGCCTACTGCGTTACAAATGACGGAAGGGGCTTGTATTTCTTGTAGGATTCATCATATTTATTTCAAAATGTCTTTTTTTTTGAGTGTAGCATCTCAGGTAGAACAGGCCCAGTCACACAGACACTCACGCACACTTATGTAGAGCACAAGGCACGTGCGCGATCTGAAAACAATTTACCACTGCGATCCCGATCAGCGAGAATTGTGAGTTTCACTTTAAAGTCGAACGCAGACTTTGAAGGGAAACTCGCCATTTCCCCATTTCATTGTTTTAAAACGGCATTAGAACTGGTCGCAGCCACTCACTTTTGCCCTTAGTGAATGGGAGAAAAGCATCAAGGGTATGTCAGTACTTTTAGGCTATTTCATTTAGTTTAGAAGTTACTTGTACGCAAGAAGTTACTCGTAACTCGTACAAGATCTGTGGAGAAGTATGTAATAATTAGAAGGCAGCGTCAGAAACGTATCATGAACGGTGTCCCGAAAATTGTGTTTCCCGTAGAGCGAGTCCTTTTGAGTAGTTCTCGGCTTGGGTCCTTTCACTTTTCCCCTGTGCTCGACTCCAAAGTTATTTCAAGGACTTCCACGGAGAGACTTCCGTTCCATCAAGTTTTCAACACTCATAAGCCGAAAGACGAAATAATAATAAGAAAAAACAAGAAGCAGTGAAACAATTTATGAACGAACAACTGTGCACAGATGCTAAATGATGAAGCGTCCTAAAGGATCCACTTGAGTCAACGACGAGTACACACAGAATATGGGCCCAGGACATATTCACCAGGCGCCTTTCTCCGGTTACAAAATGGAAAAGGAAGAGGGAACTTACATTTTGAAAATCAAAGCGACTTGAATGCGTTGTCAGATTGATTTACGATCACGGAGGGTCAAGCCAAATAAGACGACTTCACATTTTCCGAGAGATCCTGTAAGATGCAGTATGCAGTATTCAGTGCTATTTAACATTTCTCTCGTCTCAAGATATTTTCCCATTGAAATCAATGCGTTTTTAAAATGCAAATAAACCAGAAACCAGATACCATGCATAAATTGTATTTGTCTAGATTGGAAAATTTCGAGTCGCCAAAGATAAAAGTCAGAATAAAAAAATATTTAAAAAAACAAGGGAGGCAGGATCTTAGTTTTACGAACGTGGGAGTAATTTGGAAAAGATATAGGATTTATTAAACGAAAGAAAAAAACTAGTTTAAACATAATGCGGGACATTTGCTCTTATCCTGCGAGAATGAAATAGGTGGCTACTTTAACATGAAGTATTTTCTTGCAGTGGACAAAAGGCGTGGCTGGGGCAGAGGCTGTTCCTTGAGCTGAGTGCTGCGATGCGTCGTCAAAGTGGGACGCAACCAAGTCAAATCCTCTAGGACAACAAAGGACGCCGAGCAGTACTTCCCAGTACTCAAAGACTCCTCAGTACGCACAAGCGTTGACTCCTTTTTCTTTGAGAGCTCGTCTGCATAATGAGGAATGAGGACTTGGCATCCTGGATCGAAAACCGGTAGTCGTTCGTCGCAAGTTTCTTCTCCCCGCCGGTTATCCTGCGCTCAAGTCCTTTTCCTTGAACCTTTCAAGTGAACTCAAGTTTATAAATTGTGCAGCAAGTACAACACACACGCACACATACGTGTATGTATACTCCTCTATTTACTCAGGTCTGTTGGAAACTACCTGAGAGGCCGGATCAAAAAAGTTTATTGTAGCACACGAAAACTTGTTTGCACAGACAGACCTAAGACCTAAGCTCCAAAAAAACGGAATAGATTATAGAACTAAAGTACTGGTAAAATTATTTTCCCACCAGACTAATTGCCAGAGATTTTTTGCTCGACGAAGAAAAAACAAGAATATAGAGAAAGGATGGGTGATTTTTCACCCCTTGAAAGATTTAAATTGGCTCTCTGGCATCTTTTCGATTTCAAACATAAACTGTAGCCCAGTGAACTGCCCAGGATATTACTTCTCTCTGTGTTTAATTGCTGTTTATTAGCTCTCTACTACCCAGGCCGATTTTTTTAAAAGTCAAGAATAGGTGAATAGCTTGAAATATTGTCTACGAATTTTGATTTCGCCAAAAGATGAAATGCATTCCTGCATTTTACATGACGGATGTTGAAGGTCTAAGGTGATCTATTAGGATCTTCGGCAGATTCCTAGGTAGCTTGGAAATACCTTGGAAACCAGGGCTGCAAAAGCTCCCTTTTTACTATATACATACATGTATGGTTATTATTATGTCCATATATTAATAGGGGCGGTATATAAGAATGATGTTTTTGCTGCCGATAAATAATGAGAGAGAGCGTGGCGAAATCCACCCTTGAACCAGGTGGACTTTTTGGCTCGAGTTGATCAGATGTTAGTTTTCCCAAAAGCCGTACGCTATATAAAATATATAATAAAGGTGTGTGTGTGAGCGATCGAGAAAGGGACACCCAGTCTAGGGGATGAAAAGTCAGGCCCTTTACATAAGGGATACGCAGGACCTCAAATGCCTTCTGTTTTGTGTGTGTGTGTGTGTGCTCTGTGTTGTGTATGTCAGTCAACGAAGTCACTTCCGTTGGGTTTGCGTTTTAGTTTGAGTTCTGAGTTTAGGGGCACGCGACACAGAGCGCCAGCAGCTGTCCTGATGCAAGGACACGAAAACCATATTACATCAGTCTCCATTTAACATTCACTCAAGAAGGACTAACGTGCTGAAAGTACACCCGCAATCGCCACCAGTTTTTCTCCCGCCCACAAAAAGCCAGGAATTCCAAAACATAATTATGGCTGCCTTGAGCTTCAGCCCATCACCTCCTCCAAAAGAAAACCCCAAGGAAAACCCCAATCCAGGGATGAAAACCACGTTGAAACCTTTTGGAAAGATCACCGTTCACAATGTTTTGAGCGAAAGTGGCGCCAACGCCTTGCAACAGCATATGGCCAATCAGAATACCATTATCCGAAAGATCCGTGACTTTGGCATGCTGGGTGCTGTTCAGAGTGCCGTGGCTAGCACAACTAATACCACACCCATACCCAGTCAACGGAAAAGGCCCCTGGGAGAATCCCAAAAGCAGAACCAGCAGAACCAGCAGAATCAACAGCCTAGTAAAACTTCAGTGCCTGCCAAAAAATGCAAGACCAACAAGAAGCTGGCGGCGGAAAGGCCCCCAAAAGCAGCAACTGTAAGCCATCCCAATAAAAGCCAAGGCGACCACAGTTTCGGCACTCCAGGAAGAAAGGGCTTGCCTTTGCCACAAGCCGTTGCCCGTAGAAACGCTAGGGAAAGAAATCGTGTAAAGCAGGTCAACAATGGATTTGCCTTACTTCGGGAGAAGATCCCGGAAGAAGTTTCTGAGGCTTTTGAGGCCCAGGGAGCGGGACGAGGAGCCAGCAAGAAGCTATCCAAAGTGGAGACCCTCCGCATGGCCGTGGAGTATATAAGAAGTTTGGAAAAACTGCTGGGATTCGATTTTCCACCTCTCAACAGTCAGGGGAATAGTTCTGGATCCGGCGATGATAGCTTTATGTTTATCAAGGACGAATTTGATTGTCTGGATGAACATTTCGACGACTCCTTGAGCAACTACGAAATGGAGGAGCCACAGCCAGTCCAGCAAACGTTGTCCGAGGAAATCCAAAACCCGCCCCAAGCCACTGATCTCCTGCCCAGTTTGACTACCTTGAATGGGTTGCAATACATCAGAATACCAGGGACCAACACCTATCAACTGCTAACGGCTGAATTACTGGGCGATTTGAGTCACGAGCAAAAACTTGAAGAAACAGCTGCTTCGGGCCAGTTATCGCGATCGCCCGTGCCACAAAAGGTGGTAAGAAGCCCCTGCTCCTCTCCAGTTTCACCTGTCGCCTCGGCTGACTTGCTGTTACAGACGTGTGCCACACCGCTGCAGCAGCAAGTAATTAAACAGGAATACGCCAGCAACAACATTAGCAGCAGCAGCAACGCACAGACTTCCCCGCAGCAGCAGCCACAAGTTCAGAGCCTGGGATCGTCGCCTATTTTACCCGCGTTCTACGACCAGGAACCCGTGAGCTTCTACGACAACGTAGTACTGCCCGGATTCAAGAAGGAATTCAGCGATATTTTGCAGCAGGAACCGCCCAGCAACTCGACCGCTGGCTGCCTTTCGGACGAGAGCATGATCGATGCCATTGACTGGTGGGAGGCACACGCAGCTAAATCGAATGGTGCATGCACCAATCTGTCCGTTTAGCCGCATCTCACGCTCTCACGCATCTCTAAAAAACCAATTACAAGTTTCTAGCGTATTTTTAAATGATTTGAAGTCCTCACAGACTTCTGTGGCAGGCCATTCTATCTAAAGTTTTTTTTTAATCAAGCCGTGACTGAGTCATTGTGTAAATAGCAATTTAAGCCGAGAAAGGAAGATAACTGCGGCCAGCCGAAGTTTATGTACCTTTGCTGTTAAAACCATGTCTTTAATATGAAAGGTCGCACAATTTCGATGAAGTTTAACACATTTCCATGCAGCTATAAGATATAATCGTCCGATTTCCATGCACTCCATAAAAGGGCAGAAATAACATTAAATACGAAATGTATGGAGTTGTGCGTATGAATTCAATATTGTTGATCAAACCTGCCCGATTCACCTTTTTTACTATCTGCAATATACGGACGGACAGATGGACGGACATGCCGATCATGAATATATAAACGTTATGGGGTCGGAAATGTCTCCTCCATTGCATTGGAAGCTTCTATAACACCATATATCAAATCTAGGAACCTAGCAGATTAAAAGTCATCTAGTGATATAAACCAAATAGAAATAACCTCTAAGACCCAACCACAAATAGTTATCCTGATAAACGGCTTAATGTTGAGCCACACTAGTGTCTAATATTTTACAAAAATTAATGTATTTGTGTAACCATATTTTTTTTTGTAGATTTAATTGTAGGAACGTTTAAATGGCGAGCAAATAAATATGAACATTTCTAAAAACTTAAATTGTTTCTTGTGGTTTTTTCTCAATTATTTGTCTGATTTTAGAGAGTCTGTCTCGATATTCAAAAAGGGTCTTTTCTGATAAATGACAGAGTCCTATGGGGAATATTCGAGTGTCGTAACCCTGAAACGCGGGAATTACACTTGGGAACTGAAAATTGGAAACTATGACGAAAGTATTCTGATTTTTTTTCCAGCTGTTTCGGTTGAAACATGTGCCTCTTTTCATAATGACACAAGTAATTAAAAACGCAGTAAAATAAATGGGGGTGGAAATGGAGGGAAAACGGCTTTAGGGTAAAATTATATTTGGGACTTAACCGGCAAGCGTAAATCAAACAGATTGCATTTTAATAGTCGAATGTCAAATATGTAGTACAAATTAAAAAAAAGGAAAATGTCATGGAATGGCAATACATTTTTCGTATTTAAAGTATCGAAACCTTGACGCACGTCTGTTAATTTGCAGGATATTTTCTCACCCTCACTCTTACTTGGCGCTACACTCTCCTGCCAATTGTCCCCAGGACTTCATTGTCCTGTGCCTACGTGTTCTCACGTCTGTCTACCCGTCTCCTTCTTTTGGGACATCTGCCCAAACAGGAGAAAAACGGAAGAAAAACGAAAAAATAATAATAAGAAAGGGCCGGTCCAAAGGATATGGATGATGCAAAACTATATAAGACAGCCATGCTGTAAGAAAAATCAATTGAAATCGTTTGGCCATTAAGAATAGATGGCCTGTGCCAAAGGATCTTCGCATCTGCAGGACCCGAACCCAAAGAAATCTAAGTAGTACACTGAGGAAACAACACATTCCGATTTTGAGGCCGACATTTTAATGCGAGACATTACACCCATTATTATTTCTTTTTTCGCTGTGTGTACGTGTTGGCGCGATCCTGAGCTCCTGAGATCGCCTACAACCCCCTTTTTCCGAGCAGTTTTCAATTTTTCAGTCCAGGTGCAAACGTGTTTTCCTATCATTCTTTTTTTGGCCGTGTGGTGGGTGCGCCTTTAACCGTTCACCGTTAGCAGTGAAAATCTTTTCACGCACCGTTATAATTATTAAATATTGGTAATGCGACACGCCCCTCAACCGTACACCTTTGAGTGTGGGTCGAATTTCGCATTTTAACCGTTTGAACTGGGAAATCATTGCCGTTATGTGCGTTTTTTGTTTATTTGTTCGTGGATGCCAAAGGCTTAGGGCAGATGAACTCTCCAAGGAATATGAGCCCAATCGGATCCTTCGATCGGGCGATTTGCTTTCATAGCTCTGGGTGCCGCAATCGCTTTAAGTTGCTCCCTCATTATGCCACTTATGCCACGCCTCACATGTCACCAGAGCAATACTTCTGCATACCATACCGCCTGTTTTTAAGTTCACTTTAGCGTGTGCGCCTGCTCGTACAGCTGACTTGATTGGATTTACCCCGTTCTCCGATCCGCTGACTATCAGATTTCTGAGCCAGATGCTGCTCTTTGACCTGCGGAAGCCGAGTTGGCTGGTTGGTAATTGTAATTGCGATAGGTGACACGAACAGAGTAATTAATTTTTCAGAAGTTAAAGTCTTTAATATTTTGGGAAAACCATATCAAGTAGCAAGCTCACTTGTTTCATTACCTTCGCCATTCTTATGTACCCAAAGACGAGATAATAGCGTTGAGTGCCTGATCCGCTGATCCCAGTAATCATTTGTTAAGATTCTACTTTCATTCAAGAATTTCATCCTTCCTTTTCATTCAGCAAAAGGAAGGAAGAAGACCAAAGATGGTCTTCTCGGGCAAATAGCATTCCTATTACTGTGTCTTACGAAACTAACTGCAGTCCAAGCCGAGCTACTTAGACTTAAGCAGATACTTATACTCCATGGCTTTCAGTTTTTCTATGTCCTTAAGTGGACGTACTTCAGCCCACAATGAGGCACTTAAGTGTGCGCTCCGTGCCCAAAAACCTTAAGCGGGTCAAGGAACGAGGTCAAGAAAATAACTCCAGACAAACGTTAAAACCAAAAGCGGGTTAACACTTTCAAGTACCTCCTGCGGTTCGCCTAAGCCCTTCCCCATAATTTTCCCTACTTTCTACTTCAGCCATTGATGATCTGCGAATCGCCGACAGCTCTGAGCTACTTCCATTCTTTCCATTCATTCCATCCCATTTTATCGCTGTATCTAAATACATATTTCGAAATTTTAAACCCCCATCAATTTCCGTGAATGGAGCCCCAAGCAAGAGGCTCGAGGGCAACACATGTGACTTTCGTCGTCCAGTTTTAGAAACATCAAATGAAGCTGCTCCCCAGGTCTGGTTGCACATGTTTTCCAGGACATTTTTCTAATGTCACCTCATACCCTGTCGCCCTAAGACTATATTCCCATGTTTTGACTTATGCACCCAGGGTGGCCACTGGGAACATTCCAAGGACGAAGTACAGTATCGGCATTGAGTCACCAGACTCGATTGTATGACAAACACAATTTATACTCCCGCTCACTCCAGGCAGCGTTATTTTGTCAGTTTTGCATTGATTGAGATGTCCTGGTATGCAGCTCCTTGTTTAATAGTTTCCCGAGCTCTTTGTTTGGCTTCCTCTTCTCTAAAGCGGCTTTGTATGCAACTTAGAGTCGACAAGGATATTTGTGTAGTTCAGGCTAATCTATTTCTTCTTGATTTCATATAATGTTGTGTTCGAGCAGCACAATAAGGCCACACATTCTATCCCAAAGATGTCCCAACAACTTTGGAAAATGGCTATCAGTACTTCACTTCGTTTAGTTGTAATGACTAGACACTACAATACATACTCACACAAAGCATAACTACGCATAGACTCTCAAAAAGTAATGTAATATACCAACAAGAAAGGTAAAAGTATCAAAACTTTAAAGTACACGTGGCAGTTACCAACCGGCAGTCATCAAAGTAAATCCTCGAGTGTCACGCATGAAGGACATTGCCCACAATCCGATATCCAGTTAGCGTGTTTAAGGAACTCCGCCATAAAAATTAGAACGAATGTGCACAAACTTCCGGATGCCCAAACACAGCGGATTGAATTGCAGACTCCCAGGTAGTGGTGCTATTTGCCTAGCGCAAAAAGGACAATGACCAAACAGAATTTTGGTTTTCGGGACCTGCTTCATGCCCCTTTTTATGTCTGCCGAAGATGCTAAGGAAGGGTTCATAATTCGAATGCAGCAAGGCAGGAAATGCGGAAGAAACCGAAAGGATTTCCGTTTCGTTTCGTTCCGTTTGTAAATTGATATTCGGCAATCGATTGCCCAAAAAAGGGAAAGCCGACTCCTAACGGTGGAATTCAGCTAATCACAAAAAAAGAAGGCTAACGAATTTCCGACACCCCCTCCTCCTTCTTTTTGACCCGAAAGCCGCGATAAACTGCTACCGATTCCGACACAACAGCATTCGCATTTGTCAGCATCGCAATCTGCATCCGATTAATCGCATTACAAATCGCCCAGCGAATGAGGTGTCGACTTAAGATCAGTATAATGCTAACAAATACGAACAGGTACCCAAAATACCAAAATACGAGCGAAACAAAGTAAAGCAGAAAATACCTCGCCAAGGACAGCGGCCCAGCATCAATATTTTGACATTGCCAGCATCTTGCAAACTGTCGATTGCCCCGCATTAGCGCATTAACTTCTTGATTGCCAAACCGCAGAACAACCACAAGCCGAGTCGACTTGGCCATGTTCGTCTTTCCCGTCTGCCCGACTATCTGCATTCGAAGTGGTCTAGTGTACTGTCTAGCCAAGTTCGTAAGCAGTTTCGACCGCCCAAAGGAGAACATCACAGGATGTGCAATTATAATTGTTTTGCAGCTCTATCGGCTACGTGCCTCGCATACGTGTATTTTTCATTTTTTTTTTGGGTTTCGTTTAAACCATTTGACTTAATAAATACTAGAATAGAGAAAAAAAATCACACTACATGGCTACGAAAAAAAAGGTTTAGATAGTGACAGAAGTATGAGTACTAAAAGGTGAAGAGCACAAACAGTTGGTTAAAAGGATATATAGTATATGCGTATACATTATATAGGGCACCACTCGCTAAAGACCAACAAACAAAAAGGAATTGATAAAATATAGAAGTAACAAGGCAAAAACGAAAGAAAAATTAATTGACTCTCTGGCTGGCCAGTGCGTTGGGTTCTTCTTCGGTGTGTTAGATTTACAAGTTCGTCATCGAGGTGTCGGGTTGGGATCGGTATCGGTCATCTATATACAGGTTGCGTGTGTGTAGTCGGAGTCGTAGATTCCTGGACTCTAGGCCACCGTGGCATACTGACGCTTCTCCAACGAGACATTGAATCCATTCTCTAGCTTCAGGATGATGTCAGCCTGCAGCTTGAAGTCTGCCTCGGTGTCGGTGGAGTGGACAATATAGTTCCTCACGATGGTGGACAGCAGGACCTTTAGCTTCAGCATGGCGTACTTGCGGCCCACACAGCTTCTGGGTCCAGCGCTGAAGGGAATGAAGGAGTAGTAGTGCCTGTTGGCCATCCTCTCGGGCAGGAAGTTGTCCGGATCAAATTTGGTAGGATTGGGATAGATGTCGGGACGTCTGTGCACGCAGTACTGCAGCACGATGACCGTAGTGCCCTTGGGAACCGTGTACGGACCACTGGCCAACTTGAGGTCGTAGTCCAGACGCCTGGCGATCAGCGGTACTGGTGGGTACAACCTCAAAGTCTCCAAAATCACGCGCTCCAAATATTTCATCTCCATGGTGTCGGCAAAGGTGCAATCCCGCAGCATATTATCCCCGAAGATGGCCTTCTGTTCAGCGAAGACCTTTGCCTGGATGTCCTTGTGAATGCCCATCATGCAGAGGGCGAAACTAGATCCCGCCGAGGTGGTATCGTGGCCCTCAAACATAATTGTATTCACCTCATCCATGATGTCCTTCTCGTTCCACTCGATATCGGGGTTCTTGGCCATTTCCACCATGGCATCCAGGAGAGCCAATCGCCTCTTGGCACCCACATCATTCTCATCGATATCATCCAGATCATCGCGAAGACCCTCCTTCTTGGAGGCGGGAGTGCTGGCAGCAGGTGTGGAAATCTCCTCAACAATCGCACGCGACTCCTCTTGGAAGTTCTCCTTGCGATCCTTGACCACCTTGCTGGTCATGCCCAAGATGATGTTCATCATGCGATCGCCCTTCTCGCGAAGCTTCGTAAACTTGTAGATGGAGTCCAGGCGGTAAAGTAGTTTTACCTGCCTCTTGTGTATGATATCGCACATGTCGACGACGGCTTGAGCGTATTCGAAACTCTTGTTACCCTCCGGCAGCTTCTTCACACCCATGGCGGTAGACAACAGGATGTCAACGGTGGTCTGCGACATATAGTCATGAACATCAAAGGATTTGCCCGCTTCCAAGCCCATCCTGGCCACCACCGCCTTTGAGTGATCCACAAATGTGGGCACGAAGCTCTTCAAGATGCTCTGGTGGAAGGTGGGGGCAATCATCTTGCGATGATGACGCCAATGGTGTCCATTGCTGATCAGTAGACCATCTCCGAACCAGGGCTTGAAGTAGCGGTACTCCTCCGCCTTGGTCAAGTGCTGGTGCCCACTCAGGATCAACTCGATGTCACTGGGATTGGTTAGGAACACCAACAGGACGTTGCCCAGCCAGGCCTTCATGGTCTCTCCGTACTTGTTGAGGTAACCCAAGCCTACGGCCAGGATCTCGGCATTGCTCAAGCCGGCGGCCACATGAGCCTGTCCCAAAATGGGCAACTCCGGGGGGGATGGTATATTGGCAACCATGCGGTATTCCCGGCTATTCCTGCGCCAGTACTCGTACAATGCCATGGCCACCAGGGTGCCCACTAGGGTGGTAAACATAGGACTGAATCCTAGAACCGTCGTCGACGAACTGGCCGCCGCCTGTTGCAGCGTCTCCTGCACTACTTCCACTGCCATGGTTGCTGTTGCCTCTTTGCTCCTGATCCCTGGTCCTCTGCTGCAAATCCTGATTGTCTTCTGAAGATGGCACTGTTGCTATATCAGCCGCCAGCGCTCAACTGTGAATCGCCGTTGACCACATTCAACATTTTATATGGTTCCAAGAGTTCTGGTGGAGGCCACTGGTTCGAGTCAAGCATATGCCACTTCGATTTTCAGTCCCACAAATTAGCAAAGCAAATCAATGTCACGTACTCGCTGGCGTTGCTACCTTTGGAATGGCTACCCAATACCCAATGGCTGCACTGCGTCATTCTGGATCCGTATAAGCAATTATGACTGCATTTCCAAGTCCGTGGCTGTATCTTTGATATCAGGTTTGAGCAAGTCTTTTTATTACTAAGCTGTCGTTATATTATTATTGGTATTATTAGGAACTTAGAGAACATTCTTTATAGTAGCTTATAATGCACATAATCCTAAATATTTAGTTCTTCCAGTTCGTTTAAACACCTTACCTCACATAACTGAAGGTACTATAGACAGTCATATAAGTTTCTGCGACTATCATAAATAAAATGCAGTTTTAAAATTACCCCTTTTTGCGAAATTTCAGACACATTTAAATGAAAAGTGAATGTGTCTACTGTCTCTTTAAGCCACCCTACTTCCTGCGGAAGTACGCAGGCTGCCAGGATCCAGGATCCAGGATTCAGGAATATGCAAACCAGCCATTGGCCGTTCGGCTACCTGTATTCTACGGCATTTACCTGCTGGCGAGCGGAAGTGGGTGATTCTTGCCTCGCTTCCTGACATTTTAATGCTATTCCTTTGTTTTGCTTTCGCTTTTTATTAAATTTGGTTTCGGCGCTTTTGTCCTCGACACCTGAGCAAAAATATGCAAGGGAAATATCGAGTGAGTAAACAAGAGAGTATGTAAGCCACAGACAAAGGAAAGGAAGCTGTCGCTTTTGTGGTCCTCGTCCGCCACATCCTCCCGCTCCCTCATCATTATGCGATTGTTTTTATAAGTGATCCTTATTACTATTTATTTTTATGGCAGTGGGATTTATAATTATTTGAGCGCGTGCGCAAGGCATAGTAACTGAAATATGTCCAGGGATCGCTCCTTTTATATTTTTGCCAAGTATACACGCGTATGCAAACATTTAACATGGTCTACATACATACATACTACATATGTACATACAATAACAGCAGGAACAGTTTGCAATGGTTGAGGTTATGGGTGTTCAAATGGGAAACAATTCATTAAACTTAAGTTACCTACAACTTACCCGAGTTTCTAATACGTATGTTTAAAATCGCCTCACTTGCTTAATTAATTACAATGATTTTGCACGGCCGCCATTTGTGTTGTGTGCATACATATGTATGTATGTACATACATAACAAAAACCGTAAGCTAGACCGAAATGATGCGTCAGATTTTAAACTGAACTTATTGAGCACACACACTACGGTAACAAAAACTGTGCGTTACACCGAACACGCGCGCTACGGGAACTTCTTTAGCAATTTTTTGAACAAATTTCGCCGTTTTATCACTAATCGTAGCCCAACCGAATCTATGCCTCGAATCGAACTGCACTCACCGAATTCGCCGAAATCACTGAAATCGCAGAGTACATTCAAAATAAAGTTTTATTTCGGGCAACGTTAGAACAAAGTAACGGGTTTAAAAGCTCGCGCAGTCGATATTTCATGGAAGTGAAAAGGGAAGAAAACAAAAGAGAGTGATAACTGTTTCATAATCCGATCTCTTTTATGTACCTACATATGTACATACATGTATACATACGTATGTGCCTAAATTATTGAAAGAGAGCACAAATATATTTGTATTTATGAACACATTGTTTTGAGAACTGCGTAAACTGACTTCATTGAGCGTCAATAATTGCAAACAACTGGCGAATAAAATGGTAAAAATAGTTTTATTGGACTTTTGATTGCAGGACCTAAGCAATTATACATACATACATAGTTCAAATCATTACAATGGATTTACTTGTGTGTGTGGTATTAGTTCTTCCCAAAATAAATTACATGGATTCGCGCCCGGGTTTTTCGCCCCTTCCAGTTATTTTCTTACTTGATACTTTCCACTTGCTTACGACCTAACTGATTTAAATGTTGCGATATGCTAATTAATTTATGGATATATATGTGTATGTATATGTATAGGCTACTAAGATATATGTAGGTATGTAAATGTAGTATGACTTTTATCGAGTTGCGGTGACAGCACAGAAAGCAGAGTAATCGTATGTATGTTACGCGGTACACATAAAATTACCGATAATAATGGACTTAACCTATTTACGAAGCTTGTTTAAAGTTAACATTTAATGTCTTTTATCAATCGGGACGAATGCTGAGCTCTCTAAACAGAAACACAACATCGCACAAGGAAGAACCAAACGCATTCTGGTGGTATGGTGCTAGAACTTAGGACTTTGGGGACAGTCGACGACGGACAGTATCGGGAAATATGGCATACAACACGCGAAAGCAAATTACATATAAAAGTTACAAAAATAAAACAATACAGTATCTTATTTACATGCAAGAACCTAAACGTATGCGGGCGTATCCTCCAGATCGAGGATGGGAAGCAGCAGAAGTCCCGCGCTGGAGGGAAGGGAGGCCTACGCCGTCTCATTGAGGTGCACGCAGTGGGCGTCCTGCATGAGCTGCGTGAGTTTCTGCGTAAACGTTGGAATGTCCTGGACAAGAAGGGGTAGTGCCAATTAAACGCAAGGTCAGTTTTTTAGGAGGCACCACCACTTGCAACTTAATGTGTGCAATGATAGAATGATAGTGTTTCTTTTTTTGCTTTGCAAGTGGTGTCGATCCCCCTGTACTCAATATGTGACTCACATTTGTCTGGCAGATCTCTTCCAGCGACGTATGAGCTACTGGCAAAGAGGCGTGAACAAAGCTCTCGAGCAACTGGCGCCGGTCCACCTGGCCCATAGCATACAAGGCTTGGGCAATCATGTCGAAGTGGAGGGAGCCCTCTCCACTCAACAGCAGATTGAGCAAGGCCCGCTGAAAGGAAGCCAGCAGTTGCTCCTTGAACAAAGCGCGCTGATACAGGCGACTCCTCTCATTCACATTTTGCATTGAGAAGAGAACGCTGCGCACATTACTAGGATCAGTGCCGCTGACCAGCATCTGGCCATACGCATTCAGGATGGCCATGAAGTGGACCGGATGCAGGTTGTCGCTGCAGTTGAAGTTGCCGGAGCCCCCACCGCTGTGACCATTGGAGAGCTGATTTTTGTAGAAGAACTGCCACTTGCAGGTGAGCACACTAGAAGGGAGAAAGGGCGTTAATTCATGGCAACACACGTACGATTTACTTCACAGTAGCCTCTCACCTATCGAACAAAGCGTACAACAGGCTGGTGATCTCGCTGTTATCGGTTGCCGCATTTTGCTGCTGCAGCAGGGGCAGAATCTGCTGAGTGCTAAAATCTAAAATGGAGGGCAGCAGCCCCAAGGAAGCGCTCCCCGGCTGCTCCACGATCAACTTGAACATCTGCAGTATTTTTTCCATCACAGCCAGTCGGCTCAGAGTCAGTTGCTCCCTGCAGATGGAAGGAGACAGTAGCATAAGTATCGCTCACACACAACGCGCACCATAAAGAAAGAGATGGGAGACCCACACCCACCTGCTGCTGACACTTATGAACAAGGTGATCATTTCCTTGATGAACTGGGCCCCCAAATGGGTGGGCAAGGTGCGGAGCATGCTCAGACTAAACTCGGCCACCGTGATGGCCATGGCGATGCTGCTTTGCCCGAAGCTGTTGAATATCATTAGGGCCTTTGTCAAAATGGGCTGCAAAACGGAAGACGTTAGTAGCTTAGGATCGATCGTACGTTTAGATTTACGTAAAGAGATAAGGCACCTTGAAGCTGCTTGCCAGCATGTCCTTGGCATTGCCTCCAGTGGCCTTAAAATACTCAATTAAAGCAGTAAAAGTGCCCAGCAAGCTGAGCGTGGTGGCCGCCACCTTGCTCTCGTTGGCCTGCACTAAGTCCAGATCCAGGAAGTTCTGTGCCAGCCCCTGGACATATTCACGCAGCATCCAGAGACGCCTCGGGTACTCCTGCTGCTGCTCCGGAACGTTTTTCCACGGCAGCACCATGTAGCTGACCAGACTGATGTGCACATTGATGCACACCTGGCGCGGCAATTGGGCGCCCAGGCGGGAGCCCGCCTGCAGCAGACTTTGGATTTGTGGTATATCCAGCAGGCACTTGGGCCGTATCACAGTCGATATGAACAGCAGCAGCTCGCTGGCCGTCTGCTGCACAATGGGGGAGGCAGCCGACAAGGATCCATTGCAAGCAAAAATGCTGCCCAGGATAGCAAACAGGCGGTGCAGCAGCTCCTCGCTGCTCATGGCCTTCGTCAGCGGAAAGATGCTCCTCATGGCCAGTAGAACTTGAGCGTATCTGAAGGATCAAGCAAAGCATTACATACATCTTTCGAATGCATTCAGTCATGCAAAAGCATGCCCCACTTACAGGTTGTCCAAATCAGTCTGGAACGTAGCTTTATCCATTTCGCTGCCGCCGCTGTACAAACGATTGCTTGCGAGGAGCTGTAGAGTCTGCAGCAAACTGTCGGACAGCATCTGCAGCTGGCACTCCATCTCCTCAGCAACCCCAGGTGCTGCTGATGATGAGTCCATCAAGGGGGCCAAACGCACCACCGCCTGGCAGACGGTGGCAAAGTCGCGCAGAATCTCGCCCACATTGGCGCCCTTCAGTTTACGAGCCGCCTCGTAGCTTCGAGCGCTTCCGTGGTCCAGTGCGTGCTCCAAGGACAGCAAATACATCTGTGGCCGTGACCAGTGGTTATAGACCTGTGCGAAAACGATGTGTGCACCTCTGGTGTTGGCCAGCAGGGCAAGGGACTCGAAGCATTGATCCAGGAACTGCTGCCACTCGGTGGCGAAGGTCTGAAATGACGATTGAGCCAATGCAAAATACATTTTTTCGTTTTTGAAATTTGTCATCTAACATAAAATACTAAAAAGGAAACACTTCATACATCGTTCTCCATGAGCTCGTTTTCCAGCACTTCTAGCTCGGGTTTGTTGGCTTCAAACTGAGTGCGTCTCATGATCTCATCCACCAGCTGGGTGAGCACATTGTTGTAACGCGTGATTTTGGCGGGCTGCTGGGCAATGCCTTTGATGATGGGTGTCCAGATCTCAAGCTTTTCGGTGAAGTCCAAAGCGCCGTTCACTGTTTGGAAGATGCAAAATGAGTAACCGTTGTACTTAACCATTTAAACCATTTAATAGGACTCATTTTCAATGTCGATCCACCACAAAAGGCAATATTTTTACCACGCGACTCACATTCAGTGGTGCAGCTGTATAGCAGATTGAGGAAGGTCTCCAGCAGGTCCGGCTCCTGCATCAGCTTGCCAGCATACTTTTTGGTGTAGAGGCGCAGCAGCTCCCGGAACTTGTCGCTGTACATCTCGCTCTGCCGCCGATTGTTATTGTGCTGCTCCAGGAGGCTGGTCACGCCGCCCATCAAGGGCCCTTCGAAGGGCAGTGGCTTCTGGAGGTAAAGCAGCTCATTCAGCACAGAGAGAGCCACCAAGGAGATGGGCTCGTGGGCTGGTCGCCACTGGGAGAGGTCGAGTATGCTCATAAGGAAGTACTCCGAGATCAGTTCAGTGCGTATCCAGGAGACCAAGTGCTGCACACAATCGAGCAGGTCCAAAATTGAGGAACTGTGGAGTAGACGGCCAAAAGAGATATTTACACGAAATGTTAAATGTTGTAATGCACATACAGATGTACATATGTGTGCTTTCCTGGAAGCTATGATGACCCACCTTAATTGATTGTCGTTTGGCAGCGCTGAGGTTAGACTAAAGTCCATGAGGGTGTTTGGTATGGTCGATTGGATGTCTTTGCCATTGATGTGACACACAGCGATTAGCAGATACTTGGTTACCAGGTCCAGAACATCGGGTACACACATGGAGATGCTACAGAAAGACGGAAAACACGGCAAAGGGAACACAGAATGGGTTAGGAACAGTGCTGTGGCAACTGACTAGTAATTACAGTTCAGTAAGTTCCACTTAGTACGATAACTCGGGCAACGATTTAATTAGTTGAATTTTAAACGGTCAGCTGACTACAATTGTCAAGCCAAGTTTTAAGGAAAATATATTTCTCAAGGTCCACATGTGCTGCGAAATTGTGCAATCGTAAGGACTGCAACATAAAAGGGTATATTTAAACAAATGTTACCACAATGATTAATGAAAAAAAGGTGCGTGTGTGGCAATTAAATATGGAAAAACAAAAAAAAAAGTCTTAAGTCTTAAAACGAACCACAAGACCTCTGTTTGAGCCATAAGACTTCAGCCTCCGCGAGCTATTTACCCACCAGGAGTAGAAGTACTGCTTCCATTCGGTGGTCAGGTCGCCCCTGTTGCTTACCACCTCCTCAGAGGTGATCCTAAGCAGGTTGATGCCAAGCTGAAACCGTGTTTTTGTCAGTTCCATGCAGTGCTGCATGTAGTTTGGGTCCTGTTCGGGGAACTCCCTCTTTCCGAGCAGGGCTATCAACTGGGCCAACGTGTCCCTCTGCCGTTTGGCCACATTTGAAGTGGCTCCCAGTTGGGCATACGAGTTCCAAAGGGTCTCTCGCAGCAAAGTCTTGTCCGTGGACGTCAACTGCGTCCATCTCCGCGTGATTGTGTGCTCTACGGTGGAGGTGCTGAAGAACCACAGGAACTGATTCACGGTGATGTCGGAGGCAGTGGCCACACGGAGGCAAAGTTGCCACGCCTCTGGCTGCGACTTGAAGGCCAAAAGGTTTGTCTCGATCTCTCGTTTCCGGGCATTGGAGGTGCTGGGCTGATAAAACTCCTGCAGCAGACCCTCCACCGTCGTCAAAGATGCGGCGTGCTGTACAAACAGTTGGTGGGTGAAAACCAATTCCCGGTTAGGTGCAATCACTCTGAATCACTCGCAAAGTAGTGGGATTGGCCCGGAGCCCCCGCCTCACCATTTTCCGTGTCCTGTGCGATCCTTCCGAGTGTCTGTGATCTGGGTGTGGGGGTCACTATAAGCTCCGCTTGCACGCGGTTCTGATTCCGATCGCATCAGCACTCGGCGTCCATTAATTGCATGGTTTTCTTTGTGTCTTTACACAAAAGGTGGCCAAAAATCTACTCCGGGAAACTGAACAAATTTTATATAGCATGGCAACCCTGGCCGATAGTCAATAAATATCGATAGTCGGTGGCTTTGGGTATTTTGAAATTCAAAAATTCGCCCTTTCTCTTATTGATTTCCTTAAACCATCTTGTTTAATAACAAAATAGGCCATTAATTATTTCAGCTAAAATTACGAGAGAGCAGACAAACATTCAATTCAAATTCATTCTTAGCCTTTTAAACAAATTTCATGAAATTGAATATTTTATACAACGCAGCTTTAAAGTTGTTAAGAGAAATCTAAATTGAAATATCAGACAATCTGATAAATCTAAGATGTTTTACTATTACCAATAATTATAAAAAAAAAAAACTATTCAAAACATAGTAACCATATTACTGTTCTCAGGAGACGTAACTAAATTTGATTACTCACATTTGTCAGGCACTATCAACCAGCACGGCGAGTTTTTCATAATTTTCCTACCCCTTTTTTAGCGCATTTTGTATCGGAGGTAAGGCAGTGTTCACCTCTTTCCATTTGAACCAAAGTAAAACTGCCTTAGTGCCCTGCACCATAGTGAAAACTCATCGGGTGACATCTAGAATAATGCCACGAGGAAAGTACATGAATAACAAAGGTCGTATTCGCGAGTTCACGCCCGCGGATGTTCTGCAGCAGGAGCGGGACAGAGTTCGCCAGGGCGAAAGGAGCAGCAAGGCGCCGGTCAAGAATCAAGTGAAAGTCAAATGCGAGGACAAGTGCATTCGCAGCCATGGTGCGCATAGCCTAATTGAGATCTCCAATCCGAATCGTTTGCCGCTCGGGAAGCCTTTGAGTCTTTTGATAAGCAATGCGACGGAAAATCAGTTCTTTGAGGAGGACAAAGCCACCCAAAAGAGGCGGCGCGACAGGAAGGACATGCAATGCGAAAATATCCATAGTAAGGAGGTTTTGGCCGATCTCGCCAGATTGGCATTGGTTCGCAAGGAAAGGGAGGCGGCTGCCCAGCAGCGATTGGCCGCAAAAAAAGCGACTGCTGGGGCCGCCTCCAACTCGGACACTTTCCTCAAGAAGATCAGCCACAAGTCGTCAGAGGACTCGCCACCGGAGGTCCAGGGCCAGAGTAGCAATCCCATGGTATATCAGAGGAATCCTCGCGCAAGAAGTAATATGAAATAATCGAAAGCACACAACTATTAGGCCGGTACCAATTCGGAAAGCGGCTACCAAATCCATTTAATATCTTCAATTTCATTAATATAATGGCTTACAGAAATGACTAGAAAAACTCGACTGAAGTCAGGCCGGCGTCAAAAATTCAAATGATCAAAGCCCGCCCATGTTGCTTTCTTTCACATTCCCAAATAAATGAGAATAGGGCATTACAAAAAACCCACAACCAATCACTATTTGAATTTGCCGCTTCCCTCAACTTAAGGAACTATAGGTGATCGATAGACGATAACACAATTGATCGCAAGTGCCGCTTTTCGGTATTTTTCAGTATGGTAGCACTATTCTAATAAGGTAAAATTGTTAGAAGAACGAGACCATTAAGAACTGTTGGCCTGCAAATTGGGAAAGCGGAAAATCAGGGAACGGAAAGCTAGTTCAGGAGGTTCCTATCCGATCTGGCCAGCCCACTCTGTCCATCTCATCATAGAGAAACCGGTCCGCAAAGGAGCAGCAAAGCGATCGCGATCTGCGGATGGCGACGCCAATAACAATTTCACGCAGCGGAAAGTGTTCGTGAACCAGAGAATGAGCGACTCCATGGTACGTAGAGCATTGCCCCAGTTGCACCAACCCACCTTCGCCCTACCCTTTATGGCAGTGGTGGGTCGATCTCTTGCAAAGATCAGTTTAAACCGTTACACGACAAGAACAAGAACGGAGCAGAACGGAGATGCCCGCCTCGAAAGCAGAGACCACCAATATGCATTCAAATTGTTTTTGTGTGCATAAATTCGCAATTGGAAGCGGGAAGTGGAAATCGATAGAAAACCGAGCAGCAAGCATGTGCATTTTGGAATTTTTGTGTTTTGCACGAGGGCCAGTCAACTGGTTGGCTGCGTACGGTCTTACTATTTTGCTGTCATTTCAAAATTGTAGCGTTCCAATTGCACTATTTTGCCGACTTTAAACAAATCAAGTAAAATTCGTTTGTTCTGTCCTTTTGTGCGTCCGATTGAAGCTGGTGCGGAAGGGGCATCCTTGAAGTGTCTAACAGTACTGGAACTATCCAATTTGCTCTTCCATTCGCAGATAAAACAACCAAAATGCTTTTCGATGGCGCAGCCGGCAATGGACAAGGTCAGGGACAGAATCCATTGGGAGGAGGTCAGGAGGCGTCGGCCCTATGCGAGCAGTACCAGTTGCTGGGCGATGGCACCATCATTCTGCGCAACCTTCGCGCCGACTTTTCCAATCCGCGCCTGGAGCGCCACAAGTCCCGCTGCTGCCAGCGCCAAACGCTCATCCACGACCTATGCGCCAACTGCATGATGGATCTCTGCGAGGAGTGTGGCTACTCCTGCGGCGAGTGCTCCAAGTTCATATGCCGCAGCTGCGTGACTTTGTTGTAAGTTGCATTTTTGCTCCTTTTTAAAACCACGTGGGCCGATTAAATACATGTTCCTTCTCGTCCCATTTGCAGTGGTAATCGAGTTGAAGAAAGCGAGGATCCGCTCTGCGAGCGCTGCCAGATGTTCTTCGCCTAGGATTCCAAGGCCAGCTCTACGCAATAAGAACTACGATAAGAACAGATTTTGCACATAAGGGAACGCTATGGTCAAGTACATCGACCTTTTGATGCCCGTGACTGAGTTAAAATATTTGATCTCCTGAAAGGATTAGGACGTATTAACCTACCTGACATGACTACATTTAACTATATTTTTCAATTAAAATCGCGATGCGAAAATCTATCAGCACTCTAGATGAATGACATACAATTAAACTCTTAAGTCAAGAGTGAACGTGGCAAAGTATTTAAGATAAACTTCCATGCTTGATGCCAGCTCTTACACGAACGTGGTGGATACGGGAAATTAATGATATTACTAAAAAAAAGCTGCAGCAGACCCTCCACCGTCGTCAAAGATGCGGCGTGCTGTACAAACAGTTGGTGGGTGAAAACCAATTCCCGGTTAGGTGCAATCACTCTGAATCACTCGCAAAGTAGTGGGATTGGCCCGGAGCCCCCGCCTCACCATTTTCCGTGTCCTGTGCGATCCTTCCGAGTGTCTGTGATCTGGGTGTGGGGGTCACTATAAGCTCCGCTTGCTCGCGGTTCTGATTCCGATCGCATCAGCACTCGGCGTCCATTAATTGCATGGTTTTCTTTGTGTCTTTACACAAAAGGTGGCCAAAAATCAACTCCGGGAAACTGAACAAATTTTATATAGCATGGCAAACCTGGCCGATAGTCAATAAATAGTCGGTGGCAGACAAACATTCAATTCAAATTCATTCTTAGCCTTTTAAACAAATTTCATGAAATTGAATATTTTATACAACGCAGCTTTAAAGTTGTTAAGAGAAATCTAAATTGAAATATCAGACAATCTGATAAATCTAAGATGTTTTACTATTACCAATAATTATAAAAAAAAAAAAAAAAAAACTATTCAAAACATAGTAACCATATTACTGTTCTCAGGAGACGTAACTAAATTTGATTACTCACATTTGTCAGGCACTATCAACCAGCACGGCGAGTTTTTCATAATTTTCCTACCCCTTTTTTAGCGCATTTTGTATCGGAGGTAAGGCAGTGTTCACCTCTTTCCATTTGAACCAAAGTAAAACTGCCTTAGTGCCCTGCACCATAGTGAAAACTCATCGGGTGACATCTAGAATAATGCCACGAGGAAAGTACATGAATAACAAAGGTCGTATTCGCGAGTTCACGCCCGCGGATGTTCTGCAGCAGGAGCGGGACAGAGTTCGCCAGGGCGAAAGGAGCAGCAAGGCGCCGGTCAAGAATCAAGTGAAAGTCAAATGCGAGGACAAGTGCATTCGCAGCCATGGTGCGCACAGCCTAATTGAGATCTCCAATCCGAATCGTTTGCCGCTCGGGAAGCCTTTGAGTCTTTTGATAAGCAATGCGACGGAAAATCAGTTCTTTGAGGAGGACGAAGCCACCCAAAAGAGGCGGCGCGACAGGAAGGACATGCAATGCGAAAATATCCATAGTAAGGAGGTTTTGGCCGATCTCGCCAGATTGGCATTGGTTCGCAAGGAAAGGGAGGCGGCTGCCCAGCAGCGATTGGCCGCAAAAAAAGCGACTGCTGGGGCCGCCTCCAACTCGGACACTTTCCTCAAGAAGATCAGCCACAAGTCGTCAGAGGACTCGCCACCGGAGGTCCAGGGCCAGAGTAGCAATCCCATGGTATATCAGAGGAATCCTCGCGCAAGAAGTAATATGAAATAATCGAAAGCACACAACTATTAGGCCGGTACCAATTCGGAAAGCGGCTACCAAATCCATTTAATATCTTCAATTTCATTAATATAATGGCTTACAGAAATGACTAGAAAAACTCGACTGAAGTCAGGCCGGCGTCAAAAATTCAAATGATCAAAGCCCGCCCATGTTGCTTTCTTTCACATTCCCAAATAAATGAGAATAGGGCATTACAAAAAACCCACAACCAATCACTATTTGAATTTGCCGCTTCCCTCAACTTAAGGAACTATAGGTGATCGATAGACGATAACACAATTGATCGCAAGTGCCGCTTTTCGGGATTTTTCAGTATGGTAGCACTATTCTAACAAGGTAAAATTGTTAGAAGTGGGAAAGCGGAAAATCAGGGAACGCAGGGCTAGTTCAGGAGGCTCCTATCCGATCTGGCCAGCCCACTCTGTCCATCTCATCATGGAGAACCCGGTCCGCAAAGGAGCAGCAAAGCGATCGCGATCTGAGGATGGCGACGCCAATAACAATTTCACGCAGCGGAAAGTGTTCGTGAACCAGAGAATGAGCGACTCCCGCGATCCCCAAAAAATGAAGGAGGTCCATGGTACGTAGAGCATTGCCCCAGTTGCACCAACCCACCTTCGCCCTACCCTTTATGGAAGTGGTGGGTCGATCTCTTGCAAAGATCAGTTTAAACCGTTACACGACAAGAACAAGAACGGAGCAGAACGGAGATGCCCGCCTCGAAAGCAGAGACCACCAATATGCATTCAAATTGTTTTTGTGTGCATAAATTCGCAATTGGAAGCGGGAAGTGGAAATCGATAGAAAACCGAGCAGCAATTTTTGCAGGAATTTTTGCGTTTTGCACGAGGGCCAGTCAACTGGTTGGCTGCGTACGGTCTTACTATTTTGCTGTCATTTCAAAATTGTAGCGTTCCAATTGCACTATTTTGCCGACTTTAAACAAATCAAGTAAAATTCGTTTGTTCTGTCCTTTTGTGCGTCCGATTGAAGCTGGTGCGGAAGGGGCATCCTTGAAGTGTCTAACAGTACTGGAACTATCCAATTTGCTCTTCCATTCGCAGATAAAACAACCAAAATGCTTTTCGATGGCGCAGCCGGCAATGGACAAGGTCAGGGACAGAATCCATTGGGAGGAGGTCAGGAGGCGTCGGCCCTATGCGAGCAGTACCAGTTGCTGGGCGATGGCACCATCATTCTGCGCAACCTTCGCGCCGACTTTTCCAATCCGCGCCTGGAGCGCCACAAGTCCCGCTGCTGCCAGCGCCAAACGCTCATCCACGACCTATGCGCCAACTGCATGATGGATCTCTGCGAGGAGTGTGGCTACTCCTGCGGCGAGTGCTCCAAGTTCATATGCCGCAGCTGCGTGACTTTGTTGTAAGTTGCATTTTTGCTCCTTTTTAAAACCACGTGGGCCGATTAAATACATGTTCCTTCTCGTCCCATTTGCAGTGGTAATCGAGTTGAAGAAAGCGAGGATCCGCTCTGCGAGCGCTGCCAGATGTTCTTCGCCTAGGTTTCCAAGGCCAGCTCTGCGCAATCAAGTCCAGCCATTCTCACACAGTCAAGCACCCAAGAACACTGTGATGCTCTTTAATTAGAAATTTGGCACGACTCAAGGCACATAGGGCACTCATTTTTATATATTTTTGAAGAGTTGAAATTTAACAAATATAAAGGAGAAAATTTAACGGGTGTATTCTCCGTTCCTTGTCTCTACACCTTGCCCCTGAACTTGTGGTACTTCTCGTGATCCTTCAGCAATCCCTCGTACATCCTGGCGCCGGCCTCGTTACTGGAGCGTAGGATGAAGTGTCCGGCACGGTGATCGCACATCCCGATCAGTTCGTGGCAAACGCGCACTATGTGAACCTTGATCTGCGGAATAAGTCGTATTATTAGTCAAAGTAATTATTATAGTAAGCCTTCTATAAAAATATCTACTTAGTGGATGTGTTATTAGAATAAAAAATTCAAATGTATTTCTCCTAAAAGAATGTGCAACTATATATTTAATACTTAACAAACATCTTTGATCTATTCTTGGGAGAATTAGGAAACTTGCCAATTGGCGTTCCCCTAACGTTAAACACACCTTTTCGAACAGCGTCGTCGGCCTTTCGGTTCCCACCATTTGGCGAATGGTGAAGATAAGCAGGAAGGGCGCCACTCTCTTCACGGCCAGCGCCTGAGTGGTGCCCACTGTGGCCATTACAGTAGCCAGCTTCAGACCCAAGTCCGCCAAACCATCCAGCTCCGTCTCACTGATGTCCTGCGTCTGTTTTCTTTCCGCGCGATAGCCAACGATAGCCTGGATCAGATCCCGGCACAGGGCACTGAGCTGGGCTGCGCGGTCTGACATCAGGTTGCTGTGTTGTTTCAACAGCACAATCAGGTTGTCTGTGAGTGCACCATACAGATCCACAAAGTGCTGCCAACTGCCGCCGTGCCGGATCAAGTGCTTGATGTCTACATCCAGCATGCTGCCCAGAAGGCAATCCAGAGTCTCTCCCGTGAGAGGGACCGTACGATTCCCGGCCAGATTGCGCTGAGCCTCCAGGAGTCGGAGGGCGTGACCACAGTATGCCAAGTCTTTGGGCTCCGGGAGGCGAAGCGAAACACTCACACTGATCAGCTCGAAATGCTCATTTAGCATCTAAGGAGAAAGTTAGAAAAATTAACTAGGGAATAGGACCAGGGTGCTGGGGAAGACTCACCGCTCCCTTCACGCTGCTCAACGAGCATTTGGCAAAGAGAGCCAAAAGGCTTAGCACATTCTGGAGCGCAGCATGCTGGGATTGCGACGCAGGGCGTGCCATTTGTTCCACTTGTGCGGAAAGACGGCGCAGGAGCAGTAGGAAATCCTCGTTAGTCTTATAGCCAATGATCAGCTTGATGGCCGGCTCCAGACCAGCCAATGCTGAAGTGGAGAAAATGTCGCCCATCTCAATGTCCGCATTCAACTGCTGCCAATAGCTGCTTAGCACGAACTCTATCTCATCCGGATCCAAATGCAAGCGCTGACGATGGGTGAGAGCCACATTCAGCAAGCGTATAGCATTAGCATCTCGATAGTTTAACTAAAAGTATTGGGAGCTGGTTTGGTTTTTTCGATACTTCTGACCACAAAATGTACGCACCGAGTGACCAATGTATATCTTGCAGATGCGTCGGAAATTTTCGTCTATGGGTTGCAGCGTCTTCCACTTTCCGTTTTCCTCCTCCTTCTCCTGAACCTTCGCAGTGTCTGCATCCCTCTTTTTCTTTCTTTTCTCGGCTTTCGTTTTCTCCGAATTCTCCGGCTCCTTTTTCTCCTGCTGGTCTCTTTCCCGCTCCTGCCTGACCACGCGATTGATGCAATTGCTCACGTAGGTCGCATAGCCCGGCAGGGTGCAATCCACGAACTCCTTGTAAGCAGATGCCTCCTTTTTCTTGGAGCGAAACTTGTGAGTCACCATTTCGCCATAGATCTCGATAAGTGGGTGCAGTTGGCATTGCAATCGCCTGCCCTGAGCTTCAGTTGCACTGCTAAGTGTTTCGATGGCCAGCAGCAAAAGACGACGCTCCTCTGCTGGCAATTTGTTTGACGCAGCCATTTGATCCTTGAAGAAGTCCGTGCAACTTGCAAGAAATGCTGCACTACCGGCACCCTGGCGGCGAATGCAACGAGCAAAAAGTGTTTCGTAGAAACTCCAACCCACCGTCGAGCTGGTAGGGATAAGGGGAAGCAGTTCGCTTAGCCGCGGGAAGTAGCTGCATATGGGTAACGGATGACCGAAGTGCATAAGATCTGCAATCAAGTAAGTTTCTCCGATAAATGATTGTGAACTATAATTTCCATTAAGATATTCACCTATTAGTAGCTCTAGAACCTGATTGGCATTTTCCTCCTGATGGCTGAGACTGAGATCCCTGTACAAAACGAAGATCACCAGCCAAAGGGACGATCGAATGTTGCGGGGCAACTGAGCCAATGGAAGACCCTGCAGAGTCTCGACCAGCACCTGGGCCGGGGGCATGTGCAAGTTATTTTGAACCGATGCGTTTTCTCGTAGAAAGTGTGTCAGCGAGTTCTCCTCCACCTGCTCTTCCAGTTTCAGTTTGACCAGCAATGACCCTTTGGCCTTGGCCTCTTTGGCCACTGCTCCATACTCCTTGAGCAGCTGCAATGTAAGCACTTCAATGGTCTCCGAATCATTGATATGGGATTCCAGGATTTGGTTATGTTTCCTTTGGTGCAAACGGAGCTGCTTCTGTGGTCTGGACAGCCGAAAGAGTTGCTGTGGCGCCACCAACTCAGCCAGGGCATCTGAGCAATTGGCCTTCCTTTGATCATTCAGCAACCAACCGCTCTCAACAAGCTGCAGCTCCAAACGCTGCAATCTCTGTCGGCAGCAGCTCTTGCCGAAGTTGTACACCCTTTGCTGGATCAATGTCCACTCGGCGGTGGGCAGGAAACCCCTCAGCCGTAATGGCCGTTGGCTGGCGGGGAACCCGTCTGGCCAGTAGTAAGCCAGAAGAAGCTCCAAGCCACTGGCTCGCTCTGCGCACTCCAGAAAGGCATTCATAAGCCGGCGATTGTGCTCCTGGCTTAGCAGAAGTCGTCCGAACTGCTCGAGCACCTGGGAAGTGTGCTGTAGTTGTTGCTCAACTTGCAGCTGATAAAGCTGCACTTGCTCAGCCAGCCGAGTGCCGCTTAGGTATTGACAAAGAAGCGCAGCATGCAGTTCACGAGCAAAGTCCAGGTTTTCGGGCAGCACTTCCTTCGGCTGATCTTCCACAAGCAGTTCCGCGAAGGAATGCAACAGGGTCTTCCAAATCACCAGAGAGGGCTTGCTCATCAGGTGGCTCATTAGACGAGTGAACGCCACACCGGCTGAGTGGCTGGGCCAGGTTTGGCAGAGCTGCTTAAAGGCGTCATTGGCCGAAGGAGCTGTAGCTAAAGGGGTTCTACTAAAAATGATGCCCAAAAAGCGCTCCTCCATTCGATGGCGTTCATCTTCAATCACTTGAGAGTCCTGTGTGCGTCGCTTTTTGGCGTCATTATGGGGAACATCCAATGTGTACTTGCCCAACCATTCTCTTAGGGCCTTGAGCAGATTCATGATGAACCGCTCTGCACGACTTAGACGACGAAACATGTCCAGCAGTAGGACGAGGTACTCCGAATACAGTTCCTCCACCTGGCCATTCTCCTTGGGAGTGGTGAGCACCCAAACGGTTATCTGGTAAACACTTTGCTCCAGCAGGAGAGGATTGTAGCGCAACACAGAGCAGAGTAGTATTAGGACCTCCTTTAAACTTGACTTCTTGTACTGGCGCACCAAATGCAGCAGCTGATTAGAAATAAAAGCAAAGCCGGTGATCGATCGATTTTTCATTCTAAACTGCAGGGATACATCGTATTTACGCAGTGACATTACGAACTGGGCGGCCAATTGAAGCGATGACTGCGCCAATGACTCTGTCTCAAATACACAGGATAGGATGGCGCTGAGTTTACCTGTTTGGAAGCGATTGTTCAGGACACTGGCCTCCAAAAGGATCAGGTTGACATGTAGCGGAAGGTCATTGGTACGTGCGATGCTGAACTCAGCATTGATTTGCTTCTCCAGCGCGGCCAGTTCGTCTAGGCATGGAGTTTTTAGGGTCAGAAGCAGCTCCACAAGAGGACGAACAGTTTTCGAATTGTACTCTTCCAAAAGCTTTTCAGGCTCTAGAGAACGGCGAACAATCTCTGTCAGCTGCTGGATCACAGGAACCACAAACTCTGCATCCCAGTGGTCTTGGCTCTCAGTGCCATCCTTGGTATCTCTGCGAAGTTCGACGCACTTTTGATGGCATCTAAACAGGCTGCCATAGCATTCAAATAGAAGCTCGTTACTGGACCGCAGGGCATCCTGGAGCATCTCAGAGCCAAGAACCATGGGCAGGAGTTCCAGTGCCGACTCATTTGCGTTCTCCTCCCGGGAGACAATCTCGTAAAGAGCGTGGATCAGCTGTGTTTTCGTCGTCTGAGTAACCCAGCCAGGCTGCGCCCTCAGGCTTAGGAAATCCTTCAGTTGCTGGGTGGGTAAGTCCTCGCACCCACCCAACGATGTCGACAGCCAGTCGGCGATGACCTCGTACTTGTTGGGATAGGGGAACTCCACGGATTGCCATACCTTGAGCGCGAACTCAACACGTGCCGCGAACGGCTTGCTCGTTTCCGTGAGCCAGGACCTCAGCGCTGCAAATGGACGTACGGGAGTTACTGGCCTGCTCCATCCGAATGTTACGTCAGGCACTTACCCTCGCCTGTGTCCATTTTGCCTTATCCAGTGAAATACACAGCAAATGCAGCTTCAAATCCAAGTTTACTTCACTGTGGCACGTGCGAAATAAACAAAAGGTTTATCGGTATCGATATCATAATTCGATGCCGATATCGATTTTCGATGTATGGAGGCGTTGTTATTAAGCGGCTGTTGTACCTAAGTCAAATCTGGCTTTTTTATAGCCGGTATAGGAATACAATGCATTCAGAGTACTTGGCCTAAGTGGCTTATGATAGGTATTAATAGGTAGCTCGAATTCTTAGGTAGCGTATAAATAAATATATCAACGCATTTGGCATAAGGTACTGGGCAAAAGGTTTTTGCTTCACGTCAACTTAAATCTGGATATTTTTAGCTTTTTATGTCCGAGTCAGTGCCGGAACAGCTGATCGTCCACCAGCGAGGAAGAAGCAGAGCACGGTTGTGGATTCGAGTTGTTTATTTAATAATTCGAATCATTTAACAAATTCCACTGTTATTTTTCTAAATTTCTGAATGAGACAGGAATCACAATGCTGTTAAACTGTACGAGGCTCACACACCTCTGCACGACTCTCCGGGTCAGGCAAAACAGCCAAATCAGGTTGTCCACATCATATAATCACCATTTGGGCAGGTGCCTCCACCATCGAGCCGCCCGGTCGCTCCAACACAGCCTTCCGCCGCCGACCCGTCACCATAGCCACCTGCTCCCAACGCTCCGCATGACGTGGTGGTGCATGCGACGTGGATTCGCACAGAGCAGCAAGTGGTTGGCCAGGAATGCAAAGGCGGACGCACCAACTGCAGTTGGAGCCGGAATTGTGCCCGCCCGGGTCAAAATGGGCAGATCCCAGTTCGGCCGCCTGCTCAGTCTGAGTAAATCGGAGAAATGGGTGCTGACAGGTTACTAACATACTACACGTTTTGCAAATTCCCGAATCCCTAACTTTGTTCTGTATTTTTCAGCGGGCATTGGCTGTCTGGTAGTCTCCTCAGCCATCACCATGTCGGTTCCTCTGTTCCTGGGCAAGGTCATTGATGTGGTCTTTAATAAATCGGGCTTGGATAGCGCAGCCATGCCCAAATTGGGCGAGTACTCGGTGCTCCTCTTCGGAATCTTCGTGCTGGGCGGATTCGCCAACTTTGCCCGAGTCCATCTGTTTGGAAATGCGGGTAAGTGGAATCCAAAAAACCGCATTTATTTATCAGTGTGCCCTGGAAAGCCGATAGATCTCATAAAAAATGAATTTGTTCTGGGAATTGTACCATCTTGGAGTTTTTTACTTTGATTACTTACTCTCTAGTGCATACAGAGTATAGCTGTAGGGTAGATTACTTTTATTTGGATAACATATATTTTTTATGTTATATCAATAATGCTTTAAAAGAACCAATTCATCTAGACCTTATGTCTTCGCCTCGTTTCAGCTCTCCGCATTGTGCGCAGTCTAAGATCCCGGCTATATAGATCTATGCTGATGCAGGAGGTGGGTTGGTTCGATACCAAAGGCACTGGGGAACTGATAAACCGGCTGAGCAACGACACCTTAATGGTGGGCACCTCGTTGAGTCAGAACGTTTCGGATGGCCTGCGATCTGTAGCCATGATTGGCGTCGGCACGGGCATGATGGTACGAGATAACAATAAGTGCCTTGCACTGCCCAAAACCTTCTTTTATCCAGTTGTTTCATTGCAGATCTACACCTCCCCCCAGTTGGCTGCTGTGAGTGCCTTGGTGGTTCCCGCGATGGCGGGCATGGCCATCGTGTACGGACGCTACGTGAGGCGGATCACAAAAACAGAGCTGGACAAGTACGCGGAGATTATGAAGTTTGCGGAGGAGCGATTTGGTAATGTTAAGACGGTCAAGACCTTCTGCCGAGAACAACAGGAAGTAGCTGCCTTTAATGACCAGCTGGATGAAGCTATACAGATTGGCTACAAGGAGACACGTGCCAGAGCTATTTTCTTTGGATTGGTAAGGCCTAAAGGAAAGTACCTAAGAAAATCATACAAATCTGTAAACGCTCTTTTTTTAGACTGGCTTCTGTGGCAACTTCATCATTATTTCAGTGCTGTACTATGGAGGCACTTTGGTTTTACAAGACTCGCTGACGATTGGAGCCCTCACAGCCTTCATGCTCTACGCCGGCTATGTGGCCATTTCGATGAATGGGCTGTCCAACTTCTATAGCCAGCTGAACAAAGGCATTGGAGCCGCGGAGCGTATTTGGGAGATTATGGACAGGGAGTGCTCGATACCCATTGACAAGGGTATTGTCCCGTTGGACAAGCCGGTGGGCGAAGTGGGATTCCAGAATGTATTCTTCACGTTTCCAACTCGTCCTGAATCGGCCGTCCTCTCCGACTTTTCGCTAAACTTAATGCCGGGAACAACCACGGCGGTAGTGGGTCGTTCAGGATCTGGAAAGACGACGATAGCTCTGCTAATGCTTCGACTATATGATCCCCAGAGCGGCACGGTGCAGTTGGATGGCATTGATTTGCGAACGGTGAATCCGCAGTGGCTGCGAAATAACATTGGTGCTGTCAGCCAGGAGCCGGTGCTCTTTTCGTGCTCCATTCGAGAGAATATTCTGTACGGCGCTAATCCTGGCGAAACACCGAGTCCGGAACGACTGCAGCAGGTTATTGAAGACGCAAATGTCAGCCAGTTCACCGACCAACTGCCGGACGGACTGGATACGCTCGTCGGCCAACGGGGAATGATGCTCAGTGGCGGGCAAAAGCAGAGAGTGGCCATTGCCAGGGCTCTAATTAAGGTAGATGCTATATTGAATTCTTAGTTACTCCAGTTGGAATTTCATAAGAGCTTGCTCATTTATTGCCCTCCAGAACCCCGCTATCCTGATTCTGGATGAAGCCACAAGTGCGTTAGACGCCGTTTCGGAGAACCTGGTGCAGAATGCCTTAGACAATCTTATCCAGGGACGCACCGTGCTGACCATTGCGCATCGACTCAGTACAATACGGAATGCGGATCAAATCGCCGTCCTAAGCGAAGGAAAGATTGTAGAGCAGGGCAGCTACAACGAGCTTATGGGCATCCAGGAGGGCGTCTTCCGGGAACTGGTGGCCAGCCAAGCATTCGCCAGCCGAAATTAAAAGAGGGTGTGGAATTTAGGATAAGGTTAACTAATCGACTTTAAGTTACAAGTGGGCCCACCAGTGCCATTTGGCGGACCTGCTAGTGCTCTTGTGGCCGGGATTTGTGTTCATAAATCAAATGTTTTTAACTCTTTGTAAAATATACACCGTTGACCATAAAGGATCCTTATGTCTTTTATTCTCAAACAATACCATTTCTAATGATACCACCAATGAAAACACCTCAAACATGAATGGTTTTATTTTTGGGGAAACTCCTTGCTTTTTAAAGACAATATTCAAACGGTAGTTTACATAATAAACGTTTTATTGTTATCATTTACATATCATTACTTTCAAGCTACACTTGTTGTCTCTAATCATCGTCTTACATCTAATAAACAGGCACAAAAATAAATGCAATAATTTCTTTGTATCTAGCTTCTAAATACGTCCTGTGTGCAAGCATCCAGAAATTCAATACGTGGAACAATTCATCTGAATCTCTCCAGAATCTCTTCAAGGTCTGCCTATTTCATGGTGGGCATGGCCACAGCCGCCTGGGTGTGAGTCACGTCCGTTTCCCGCCACAGCTGGGTGACCGTCTTCGTCTGGGTGTAGAATTTGATGCCCTGCTTGCCATAAAAGTGATGGTCGCCGCGGAAAGAGCCCCGAGTTCCGGTAAAGGAGAACATGGGCAGTGGCACGGGAATTGGCACATTGACGCCCACCTGGCCGGCATCGATTTCGTTGACAAACTTGCGGGCGGCTGCTCCATTGGTTGTGAAAACGGCGGTACCGTTTCCATAAGGATTGGCATTTACAATGCCAATGGCATCGTCCAAGGTGTCGGCCTTGAGGATGACCAGCACAGGGCCAAAGATCTCCTCAGTGTAGCACTTCATACTGGGCGTAACATCGCTTAGGATGGTGGGTCCCACAAAGTATCCATCCTTGTAACCGGGCACGGTAATTTTCCTGCCGTCCAGGATGAGCTTGGCTCCCTCCTTGACCCCAGACTCAATGAGGTCATTAATGCGTTGGCGGGAGGCGGCGCTGATCACGGGTCCCACATCAGTGCCAGGCACATGGCCGGCATTTACCTTCAGCTTCTGGGCACGCTCCACCAGATCGGGAATCCAAGCCTGGGCATCGCCCACAAAGACAGCCGTGGACAAGGCCATGCATCGCTGACCAGCAGCTCCAAAAGCGGCACCTGCCAATTGGTTCAAAGTATTCTCCTTGTTGGCATCGCCAAGGATGATGCCGTGGTTCTTAGCGCCCATGTTGGACTGCACCCGCTTGCCATTCTTGCCAGCCCGCTCGTAAATGTACTTTCCTGCTTGGTCGGAACCCACAAAGGACACTGCCTTGATTTCGGGAGCATCGCAGATGAAGTTCACGGCGTCATGCTGGCCATGGATTACGTTGACGACACCCGGCGGACAGCCAGCCTCGTTAAGGAGCTCCATCAGCAGCATGGTTGCACCAGGCACGCGTTCCGATGGCTTCAGCAGCATAGTGTTACCGGTGGTAATGGCCACCGGGAACATCCACAGCGGTATCATGGCCGGGAAATTGAACGGCGCAACGCCAGCGGTTACACCGAGGGGCAGGACCAGTGAGTACGTGTCCATGTCCTTGGCCACGTTGGCTACTGTTTCCCCCATCTGCAGGGATGGGATGCTGCAGCAATGTTCCACCACCTGAAGGCCGCGGAGCACATCGCCCTCTGCGTCGGCCAAGGTTTTGCCCTGCTCCTTGGTAATGTTCTTGGCCAGCTCGCCCATGTTCTCCTTGATCAGAGCCTGCAGCTTGAACATTACCTGCTGGCGGGTGAGTACCGACTGGTTGCTCCACGAGCGGAAAGCCTTCTTGTTCGACTCAAGGGCCGCCTGCATCTCCGACTGTGTGGCCTTGGGCACACGGGTGACCACTTGGTTGGTGGCCGGGTCGTGCACTTCAATCCATTCGTTCGTCTTCGACTCAACGAACTTGCCGTCGATGAAGAGCTTGGTGGTGGGAGCGGCTGAGGAGTAGGACCTCTTTGCCAGATGGCGGGCCTGGTGACAAAGAAGGTAAACACATATACATAAGTTGGTAAACGGCCAGTGCAATGAGTACAAATTTCGTTAGCTAAGCGTACTTCGATTCCCCTACTACTTAGTCCACCTGACTTCCATTTGCATTGCAAATTGCCCAGTGCTCGGAATCCTAACCTCAACGGCCGGACAGTTCTATTTTTTATGGGGTGAGGTCTATTTTTTTGGTGTTGATAACCGAGGGGGTGCGGCGCGCGGGGGCACTATGCCCACGCTTATCAGTGTCCATCTGGCGAAATTGAGATTTTCGTGGCCCGCCTGGCGTGGAAAGGTACCGCTTATCGCGTTTTATTGGATTTCACGCCAACTCAAACATTGTACTGCTAAATCCCCCGCGAATTCGCCGTCCGCGCTTTATCTGCTTGAAATGCTCGTTCAGGTTCTTCTTCTTCCGCCTCGTAGCGACGTATTGCGTAACATGTGTTGTTTTCCACTGCCCATCTGCCGCCCACACCCGCGGACCATTCCAACCACCCGGGTGGATGGAGTGCGAGATGGGCGCCCAAAGTGCATGCACTGCATGCCCAAGGCCAATTGCATCTCCAATTGCCGAATTCACGGCCACACACACATGCGCAAAGTGGGGAGAGTGAGAGGCGGAGAGAGAGAGGAGCACAGACCCAGTCTGGATGTACATATGTAAGTATGTCAGGATGAGGATGCCAGCATTGCATGCCTGTAGGACACCCCCACCCGCCAATTGGCACCGGGAAACTCACCTCTGCTCCGATCAATCGCACTAGGGACATCTTGGGGAAACGGAGATGAGAATTTGGCGCGGGGATCGGATCGCGTGCTCTCCGAACGGCGGCTACACTGAAACTGAACGCAGCGCAGCCGCCCATTTCCGAAGCCAGTTATTCTCCACTGTTCTACACACATACTACATATTTATGTATGTGAATACATATGCATCTCTGGTGCTGTGTGGTGTGATTGTTGATATACGAAGGCGAAGGCGAAGACCACGTCAAAAGTGCTTAACAATAGCAAGTGGCCGTAGCCTGATGCTCACACACACGTGCATACATGCACGCTGGCGCACACACCGTTAGGAACCTGTGGGGGCACAGCTGTTGTTTTTGTTTTGCTCTGTTTTGCAATTGTTGCTGTTGCTGTTCTTTGGGGGCTCGTTGTGAGCATGTGTGTGTGAGTGTTGTGTTTGCTTCGCGGTGTTTGCGTTCCCGTCATTTCCCTGCTGGAAGGGCATATTAGCTAGTGCTGAATGGAGTGTAGTACAATCAAAGACACACTCCACCGTTAGTCGCGTATTCAAGTCAATCGATGTGTTGCAGTTAAATGCAAAATCTGTTTTTCAGTGTATGACATGGCAGTGCATTGGATATTCGACGCTGGACATGCTCAACTGACATAGGGTATTTATAAACACGGCGGATCCAATGTAGAATTCGTGTGTTTTTCCGTCAACGTAGATTGTACATATGTATGAGCACATGTACATACAAACATGTATGTATGAAAATATAAATACACCACGGCACGTGTCAAAGTAAAAACGGAATCTAATCAAATACCGATACTAGAGCTTACCCGAAGATGGAAAAAGTAATCAATTAGGTGATAAGTGTTTCCTAGCTGAACAATTAAAATCCAAAATGCCTTCTGAGTCGGCGAAAAACCACAAGGCGCATTACATACGTATGTATGTACATATTTACATATGTATGTAGAACACTTTCTGAATGGAAATGTTGCTGCCTACTTCTAGGCTGTTTGTCTATTGAAATAACAATTTCGCTTTCATCAAAGGCGGGCAAAGCTTTTGCTTGCAGTTCCGCTTCCTGGTCAACATAATCAAAAGGACTAGCTTGCACCTGGGAAAACAGAATCCATGGACGTAGATGCAGCCAACACAAACGGCTGGCTTTCTCTTTTCTGAAGAAAGTGTTTGCTGTGTCTTTCAATGGGACAATAGGGGTTCCTTTCTACTCTTCAGTGATGCCCGGTTGGGAGGATAATGAAAACATAATGAAAACATTGAACTCTGGGATGGAAACAGTCAGGTTCATCAGCTTCTTACGACCCACAATTACCAAGTCTAACCACCCCTATCACTTTTTGACGGATTTGGGAAATTCAATTTTTTTGCGATTTTTTAACTTTTTTTAAGGGGTAACATCAACAAAATTTGCAAAAAATGGCCAAAAAATGTAATTCCTATTTTTGGATACAGTTTGATTGGAAATTTAAATACGAGCTCAACGAGATATGACATTCCATATTCAGACAATTATTTTTAAAGTTGTGGCAAAAAAACTGATTATTTTATGTCGGAAAATCGGAAAAACGACTTTTGGCAAATATTTGATATTTTCGATGGGAATTTTCATCATAACTTCCATAAAAATTATCATAAAGGTGAAAGAATAACAGTTTTGAACAGCTAATTACCAAGTCTAACCACCCCTATCACTTTTTGACGGATTTGGGAAATTCAATTTTTTTGCGATTTTTTAACTTTTTTTAAGGGGTAACATCAACAAAATTTGCAAAAAATGGCCAAAAAATGTAATTCCTATTTTTGGATACAGTTTGATTGGAAATTTAAATACGAGCTCAACGAGATATGACATTCCATATTCAGACAATTATTTTTAAAGTTGTGGCAAAAAAACTGATTATTTTATGTCGGAAAATCGGAAAAACGACTTTTGGCAAATATTCGATATTTTCGATGGGAATTTTCATCATAACTTCCATAAAAATTATCATAAAGGTGAAAGAATAACAGTTTTGAACAGCTAATTACCAAGTCTAACCACCCCTATCACTTTTTGACGGATTTGGGAAATTCAATTTTTTTGCAATTTTTTAACTTTTTTTAAGGGGTAACATCAACAAAATTTGCAAAAAATGGCCAAAAAATGTAATTCCTATTTTTGGATACAGTTTGATTGGAAATTTAAATACGAGCTCAACGAGCTATGACATTCCATATTCAGACAATTATTTTTAAAGTTGTGGCAAAAAAACCGATTATTTTATGTCGGAAAATCGGAAAAACGACTTTTGGCAAATATTCGATATTTTCGATGGGAATTTTCATCATAACTTCCATAAAAATTATCATAAAGGTGAAAGAATAACAGTTTTGAACAGCTAATTACCAAGTCTAACCACCCCTATCACTTTTTGACGGATTTGGGAAATTCATTTTTTTTTGCGATTTTTTAACTTTTTCTTAAGGGGTAACATCAACAAAATTTGCAAAAAATGGTCAAAAAATGTAATTCCTATTTTTGGACACAGTTTGATTGGAAATTTAAATACGAGCTCAACGAGATATGACATTCCATATTCAGACAATTATTTTTAAAGTTGTGGCAAAAAAACTGATTATTTTATGTCGGAAAATCGGAAAAACGACTTTTGGCAAATATTTGATATTTTCGATGGGAATTTTCATCATAACTTCCATAAAAATTATCATAAAGGTGAAAGAATAACAGTTTTGAACAGCTAATTACCAAGTCTAACCACCCCTATCACTTTTTGACGGATTTGGGAAATTCAATTTTTTTGCGATTTTTTAACTTTTTTTAAGGGGTAACATCAACAAAATTTGCAAAAAATGGCCAAAAAATGTAATTCCTATTTTTGGATACAGTTTGATTGGAAATTTAAATACGAGCTCAACGAGATATGACATTCCATATTCAGACAATTATTTTTAAAGTTGTGGCAAAAAAACCGATTATTTTATGTCGGAAAATCGGAAAAACGACTTTTGGCAAATATTCGATATTTTCGATGGGAATTTTCATCATAACTTCCATAAAAATTATCATAAAGGTGAAAGAATAACAGTTTTGAACAGCTAATTACCAAGTCTAACCACCCCTATCACTTTTTGACGGATTTGGGAAATTCATTTTTTTTTGCGATTTTTTAACTTTTTTTTAAGGGGTAACATCAACAAAATTTGCAAAAAATGGTCAAAAAATGTAATTCCTATTTTTGGACACAGTTTGATTGGAAATTTAAATACGAGCTCAACGAGCTATGACATTCCATATTCAGACAATTATTTTTAAAGTTGTGGCAAAAAAACTGATTATTTTATGTCGGAAAATCGGAAAAACGACTTTTGGCAAATATTTGATATTTTCGATGGGAATTTTCATCATAACTTCCATAAAAATTATCATAAAGGTGAAAGAATAACAGTTTTGAACAGCTAATTACCAAGTCTAACCACCCCTATCACTTTTTGACGGATTTGGGAAATTCAATTTTTTTGCGATTTTTTAACTTTTTTTAAGGGGTAACATCAACAAAATTTGCAAAAAATGGCCAAAAAATGTAATTCCTATTTTTGGACACAGTTTGATTGGAAATTTAAATACGAGCTCAACGAGATATGACATTCCATATTCAGACAATTATTTTTAAAGTTGTGGCAAAAAAACCGATTATTTTATGTCGGAAAATCGGAAAAACGACTTTTGGCAAATATTCGATATTTTCGATGGGAATTTTCATCATAACTTCCATAAAAATTATCATAAAGGTGAAAGAATAACAGTTTTGAACAGCTAATTACCAAGTCTAACCACCCCTATCACTTTTTGACGGATTTGGGAAATTCATTTTTTTTGCGATTTTTTAACTTTTTTTAAGGGGTAACATCAACAAAATTTGCAAAAAATGGTCAAAAAATGTAATTCCTATTTTTGGACACAGTTTGATTGGAAATTTAAATACGAGCTCAACGAGATATGACATTCCATATTCAGACAATTATTTTTAAAGTTGTGGCAAAAAAACTGATTATTTTATGTCGGAAAATCGGAAAAAACGACTTTTGGCAAATATTCGATATTTTCGATGGGAATTTTCATCATAACTTCCATAAAAATTATCATAAAGGTGAAAGAATAACAGTTTTGAACAGCTAATTACCAAGTCTAACCACCCCTATCACTTTTTGACGGATTTGGGAAATTCATTTTTTTTGCGATTTTTTAACTTTTTTTTAAGGGGTAACATCAACAAAATTTGCAAAAAATGGTCAAAAAATGTAATTCCTATTTTTGGACACAGTTTGATTGGAAATTTAAATACGAGCTCAACGAGATATGACATTCCATATTCAGACAATTATTTTTAAAGTTGTGGCAAAAAAACTGATTATTTTATGTCGGAAAATCGGAAAAACGACTTTTGGCAAATATTCGTTATTTTCGATGGGAATTTTCATCATAACTTCCATAAAAATTATCATAAAGGTGAAAGAATAACAGTTTTGAACAGCTAATTACCAAGTCTAACCACCCCTATCACTTTTTGACGGATTTGGGAAATTCATTTTTTTTGCGATTTTTTAACTTTTTTTTAAGGGGTAACATCAACAAAATTTGCAAAAAATGGTCAAAAAATGTAATTCCTATTTTTGGACACAGTTTGATTGGAAATTTAAATACGAGCTCAACGAGATATGACATTCCATATTCAGACAATTATTTTTTAAGTTGTGGCAAAAAAACTGATTATTTTATGTCGGAAAATCGGAAAAACGACTTTTGGCAAATATTGGTTATTTTCGATGGGAATTTTCATCATAACTTCCATAAAAATTATCATAAAGGTGAAAGAATAACAGTTTTGAACAGCTAATTACCAAGTCTAACCACCCCTATCACTTTTTGACGGATTTGGGAAATTCATTTTTTTTGCGATTTTTTAACTTTTTTTTAAGGGGTAACATCAACAAAATTTGCAAAAAATGGTCAAAAAATGTAATTCCTATTTTTGGACACAGTTTGATTGGAAATTTAAATACGAGCTCAACGAGATATGACATTCCATATTCAGACAATTATTTTTAAAGTTGTGGCAAAAAAACTGATTATTTTATGTCGGAAAATCGGAAAAACGACTTTTGGCAAATATTCGTTATTTTCGATGGGAATTTTCATCATAACTTCCATAAAAATTATCATAAAGGTGAAAGAATAACAGTTTTGAACAGCTAATTACCAAGTCTAACCACCCCTATCACTTTTTGACGGATTTGGGAAATTACATTTTTTTGCGATTTTTTAACTTTTTTTAAGGGGTAACATCAACAAAATTTGCAAAAAATGGCCAAAAAATGTAATTCCTATTTTTGGATACAGTTTGATTGGAAATTTAAATACGAGCTCAACGAGATATGACATTCCATATTCAGACAATTATTTTTAAAGTTGTGGCAAAAAAACTGATTATTTTATGTCGGAAAATCGGAAAAACGACTTTTGGCAAATATTCGATATTTTCGATGGGAAATTTCATCATAACTTCCATAAAAATGATTACAAAGATAAAAGAATAACAGTTTTGAACAGCTAATTACCAACGCTAAACATCCATATCACTTTTTGACGGATGGGGGAAAGTACATTTTTTGTGATTTTTTGCCTTTCTTGTAAGCGGTAACCCCAACAAAATTAAATTCCATAAAAATGAGGAAGTATATCGGGTATTAAATTGAAATCCATGGTTTATAAAAAATGTATTTGTGACTGCATAGACCAAAAAAGACCATTTACACATTGTTTTTAAAGTAGCTATAAAATACCAGCACTGGCACTCTCTCTCATTCACTCTCTCCCTCTCTTGCTGCGGAATGCGGAAGTCAACTGTGTGTGCAGGAGCATATAAATAGAAGCACCAATCGTAGCACTCGCTCACTCTGCTCGGAGAGCTTGGAGTGGACTGCCAGCGCTCCGGCCGACGCGCCTTGAATTAGGCAACAACAATTCTGTTATTTTGCGCAGAATGGGCTTGCTACGCTGACTTACTACTTACTGGTATGTCAGGAAGCTGAGGTCCAAAGGCAGTTTGGGATCTGGAAAAGATGGAGGCCACGCCGGGCTACCAGGACATCAGCGCTCTGGAGAAATCGGTGAGTTTATGAGTTTATCGACCAGCCAAATGCAAATAGCCACTTATTCACTCTGAAGTGTAGGCACTCGGCGTGCAGTGAGAGAAATTAGGTGCACTCCACGGCGGTCTATTACAAGCAGGCCAGCAAAATAAATCACAAGCCACATTTATTCATGCCACAGTTGGCGCGGAACAATGGGTTTTTAAGATCAGTGTTTGAAGAACTTAAATTACGTATAAAGACCCCTTCTTCTGGGAATATTTTCCCAGTGCTTCCTTAAAATGAAGCGAGGAGGAAATTGGCGAAAATTCATTTTCGTATGCTGGAAATGCCATAATCCATAAGTAACCTAAATCTCCCTCTGCTTCAAGGTGGCCAATGCAGGATCGCAGTTGTACACGATGGCCCACAAACTGCATGCGGTGGAGCGCAGCCTCGAGCAGACGACGATGGAGCAGATGGATGAGATGGAGGTCCTCGAGTTGCTCGAGTCGATGAGCGAGGTGACCAACGAGTACCAGAATCTGCGCAAGGACATTCGCGAGGTGCAGCAGTTGCAGCGTGACGTCAGCAGCTCCATACGCTACCAAATGCGCAGCATGCAGCAGACTTTCCACACTCTAAAACAGCGGATAGCTAGCTCCCAGAAGGGTCGCAAAAAGCCAAAGAAAGGCCTCGATGGAGCAGGGCATGGGATTCATGAATAATCAATGACCCTATTGATTGGCCTCCCTGGCGAATAGGTGCGGTACATGTGTCAAGGGGGACGCAAATGTAGGGACTAAATTGACACCAATCTGAAGCAATCAACTGTGTAACTATATATCGCAAACCCACTCCAAGCATTTAGACTCGGAAACAGGTCCTATACTTTATATACATATATACACTTGAAAAAATGTACACCCAATTGTATGCGCAAAAGGTGTTTTTTTTTTTGTGTTTTATTCCAGTGATAGACAGGAATAATGAAAACTCACTGCTCTAAAAACACAAAAACACAATGCTTAACATAGAGTATACACCATGTAAGATGATTAGCGTTCTTTAGGACGAACCGGAATGTCTGAATGCACTTTTCCAAATTTTGCCTTAACATAATAGTATTTTGAGGTAGTTTTTGATACGACACGTTTTAAAAAGTAATATATAGCAGACCGTACATATTTAGGCCACACACAATGATTATTCTTGTGTTCGTTTCACTTTTGGAGATTTATTTGTTGAGCTCTAAAGAAAATAAAAGTTAGTTGAACCTCGAGAGACGGGGAACGCTTATATTCAAATCTGGCGCCATTCGGCTGTTAATCAACAGCCATCTGGCAGCTCCATGCAGTCTCATCTGGCAATGCCATCTGATCGCAGCCGAGTGGCAACAGTGGTCGCTGTTGCGTTCGCGTACTTTCGTGACTTCATTTTCGCTTTTTATTTATATTCTCCGTTTTGCGAATAAAATGGATATATCTTGGCAGTTGTTTAAGAAGCGGATATACGCTGATTCATAGGCTGGCTAGAAGATCAGTGCCAAAAAGGGCTTACGAAAAGAAAGTGCAATAACTGCAGCTCTATTGTGCGTGCGTCTGTGTGTGCGTAGATCTACGCGTCGGTGTGTCGGTGTTTTTTTTTTTTTTTTTACGTTTGTGTGCGTGGCGTGCGAACATTTGTGGCACAAGTTCGAAAATTTGCACTGAGAAAGTGCATGAAAGTGGTTCTTGGGAAAATAGTTCATTCATTTGGCATCCACTTTCTGTGGAAAGTGGCGCGCCTGCGGCTTGTGCCTCAATCATCGTACTGCTGTCTGCCTACGTGTACAGAAATCGGGAGAGCACCGGGAAAGTACCCAAGAATCCCCCAAAATGTGGTGTTTTTGCCTGGTCTTGATCCTCGGCTGCGCAGCCGGAGAATACAGCGAAGTCCGGGTCATCCAGGAAGTGGACAATTTCCTGGAGAATCCCCACTACTTGAAAAACGATGAAATCGGAGCACTGTTTAACCAGTTGGCCAAGGATTACCCCGACATAGCAGAGACCTATACAATAGGTAAATCCCTGGAGGATCGACCTATCCACGCCCTAGCCCTAAGTGCACCCACCGGGGAGTCCAAGAATGGAGATCTCCTCAGGCCCATGGTTAAGCTGGTGGCCAATATACAAGGCGATGAAACCGTGGGCCGCCAGATGGTCCTCTATATGGCTGAATACTTGGCCACCCACTACGATGGGGACACGGAGATCCAGGCGCTGCTGAACCTCACCGAAATCCACTTTCTGCCCACCTGTAATCCCGATGGATTCGCCAGAGCCAAGGTGAGTCACCTGATTTCTCGGTTATCAAGAATCGACGGAAAACTTTTGTTGGAACGGAAAAGTGATTGTAAAGTGACTGCCAACTGTTTATACAACACACAAGACTGGGAAAAATAAGGCTTACTCTTTCCCCAGCGGCTTTTATATTATATTTAGTCATTAGCAATACACTTGAACCGATTTCGCCTTATTTTACTCTAAATTTGTTCCCCAATGTCTTTTGAATTCCCCAAACTGTTGGGGAATTATTCGTAATTACTGTTACAAAAGCCAGCTTATTTTTTAAAAGCAGAATTGCTCTTTGGCATTTCTACCAGTGTAAATGTATTTCGCTCTCTCCATTTCATTTTTCTTTATTCCCTGTTTCGAGCTTTTGTGTGAATAAGCTAGTCTCTTTTGATTACCGCGCAGACAAAAAAGGCATCGAGATCAGTCTAAAATCTGAAAAAATCTTTCCCAAACTGAAAAGAATGTGGGAACGGAAGGTTTTGACCCACTTTTTGGCCTCTAGCTAGCCAGCGTGTGTGATCACTCAATTAGCAGCCAAGAATTGCATCTGAACTCATCGCTTCCAGCGTGTCCTTAATTTTTGAATCTACTACATTTGTTTTAATTAAAATTCAACGCAGGTCTTTGAAATGTTGTGCCTCATACTGCTTATCTGCTCCACTGTCAATTTGGAAATTCCCCTGCTTTTCGCGGTAATTCCATAATGTTCCATAATGTTTTGAGTACACTTTAATTAATTATTTTGTTTTGAATTGCACGGTTGTATAGTTTTGATATTTTATTTTTCGACTCATGCAATGATGTTACAAATTTCTATAGGTAATAACAATTAAACGGCCATTGTTTTTTTAGCCTGTATCGTTCTTTCTGTCGCTTGCCTGGTTTTCTGTGTGCCCCGATGGCTAACTGGCATAGTTTAATAAGCCGATCCATTCAAGTTAGGCCTACAAATATTTACATTATCCTCTCTCGATGATGTGGCGATGCTGATTCCACATCCTGTGCCTTTTTTCGCTGGCAACTTGGCGACGGTTCTATGGCCTCTCCGAAACTGCGCTGATAAAGTAAACCAGGTAGGTCTGCTGGCGCTATGATTTCGCAAGTGATTGCAGATTGTTGCGGCCTCAACAACTCAATAACTCAACAACTCGACAGAAAGAGTAACTGGCGACAGGGGTGCGAACGGCATTTGCTGTACAAGAAACTGGTTAGGTGTCACAACAAAAACAGTAGGTTCGTGTGTGATTTACATCCCCTTACTTTCCTGCAATTTGGATTTATTCGCAACCAGTTTGTGGTTGAGGTTGATGGGGTTTGCCACTGCGAGTTAAGAGTACTATAATGATAGCTAATATCTGCTGCGAGTGCGCGTTGACGAACTTTTTGAATGCCCGAGTGCACTCGGCAATAAAGCTTGGTTTAGATTATACGAATCAAATAGCTGCAAAAGCCATGTGCATTTAAGTCATATTCTTTGAGTTTCGCGTAAATTAAGCTTGCGTTCTTGAATGCCAATCACACTTTAAATGATTTTAGTATTTTCCTACTATTTCACTCAAAATTGCTTGAGGGTATGTACATATATACAATTCGTATCCGTCTCGCCTGAGGTGCATCCCAATCTTTGGCCACTGATCATTTTCGGATCGGCGCTCATCAATTTGTTTTTGTGTAGTTGCACACGTTGCTTATCAAGAAAATTGGTTAGCACAATTGGAATGCGGGTGAGGATGGTGGAGAGGGGCGACTGGAGGGTGACGACCATATGCTCGCATTCTGGAATGGCGCTGATAAGGGCGATTTGACGCTCTCAATTGGTTGAATGTGCCAATTCGCTTGCTTGTCGATAAGACCTGTGTGTGTGTGTGTGGGAGTCCGGATCCGGACGGGTTGCCTTCTGACGTCACGGCGTGGGAGTGGAGCTATCGATTTTTGCGTAAAAATATCCTGTTGACGTCCGTTCTTTCAGCTCTCTCCGCTGTCCGCTCTCTTCTCTCTCTTCCTCACCCACACACGCGCAGGCGCCACACTTTTTGAGTCTGGCAACTTCCCTCTCCGGTACTAATAACACAATTAAAAGCGCATGAATAAACTATAATCTATTAACTCGTGTCTGTCGAAAACAGTGGTGAAGTAAAGTTACTCCGGGAGCGGACTTTAATGGATTTCGCGCTCGCTGCCGCGTGTAATTTCCCTACAATTAGCGCCTCTCTTTGTCGTTTGGGGCCGCTTTTGGAGAGTACAGTGGGATGAAGCACCCTTGTGCTGTTAAAAATCTTTTGCACTAAATAGTATTGGTCTTCATTGGTCTTTTTTCATGAAGTAAACAGGCATAAACCACGAGAAATCGCTCTGATATTTTATTATAAACAGTGGGGTCGCTCCACTTCAATCCCCCCACTGTGCGCGGCGGCAGCGGCGGCGGCAGAGGCGGCGGGCGAATGGGCGCTTAAGGCCAATCAACACAGCAAATTTTCAAACAGTTGACTTTTCGAGCCTGAGCTGCAACGACGACCCACGACGAACGGAGGCCCGACGGACAAATAGGTAGAGAGCGAGTTGCGTGCGGGAGAGAGCCGCGAAGTAGCGGAGGAAAATAACTGTATCTCGCTCAGTTCGCACGCCAGTGATAAAAACAACACAATCTCGACAAGATTGCAAATCGCAAGATGCCAACTCTGGGTCTCCTGTTGGCCTCCATAGGCATTGCCGTGCTGGCGATGGGTGTGCCGCACTGCAGTGGCTACACCATCAAGGAGGACGAGTCCTTCCTGCAGCAACCGCACTATGCCAGCCAGGAGCAGCTGGAGGACTTGTTTGCTGGCCTGGAGAAGGCTTACCCCGATCAGGCCAAAGTTCACTTCCTGGGCCGATCTCTGGAGGGCAGGAACCTGCTGGCCCTGCAAATCTCACGGAACACCCGGTCGCGGAATCTCCTCACACCGCCAGTAAAGTACGTAGCCAATATGCATGGCGACGAAACGGTGGGCAGGCAGCTCCTGGTTTATCTGGCACAATATCTGCTCGGCAACCAGGAAAGAATCAGCGAACTGGGCCAGCTGGTCAACAGCACCGACATCTACCTGGTGCCCACGATGAATCCGGATGGCTATGCGTTGTCCAAGGTAAAGAACAAACCGTCGGTTCACCTGTTGTGTTGTCGTGTCTAACTTTCGGGCAAAATCAATAAGTGGGGTAGCCCGAGTTGGAGGAATATTGGATGGGATCGAGGGCGCTTCAAGCCTGAACAGAGGCAATATTGTAGCAGATATAATAGAGTTTACTTCATTCCCAGCCATTTCTGAAACCCGATAACTAAGCTCATTGCATATCAAACCTCAGACTTCAAAAGTGCTATCTATACCCAAAACCGTTCACACCCCAACCCCTTTTGCCACTTTATACGCATGAAAATGAGGCATGCACTTTACACGGTTGATATGGTTGATAAAATATTCGGAAATAATCAAAATAATGTGAATGAACGCTTGTTTGGGAATTCTCAAAATATTACCAAATAAGTAAACATCTTACCCCAAACTTTGCACTTATCAAGCCGTTGCGGTACGCCAAACAAACTCTGCTCCCCGAATGTTTGCATTTTGCACACAAACGCACCTTTTTTTTAATTTTCTGCGTGTTTGTTCATAATTAACATCTTTAACGGTGTTAAAGCAGTAAGCATAGGTTCGTAATAATTACAGTACTTTTTCCTTCGACTTTATACCCAAGAATTCAGTCCATCTAAATGCAGGAAAGAAAATCTAAAAGTTTGTGATAACTAATTCTTAGGGACGTGCTCTTTGCGTACTTCTGAGGAACTTAAGTCATTCCTATGAATAATTATAAACATTTCATAAAAATACAAACAACGTCAAACTTTATATGCCCCAGGAATCTGCAATCTGTGGAATTCAATAATTCCCATTATTCATTGCGTTTTTAATGTCTATGCAAAGGTCGACTTCTTTGTGGTACTCATCTTTCCACTTGTGCACTGATTGTATTTGTTATCTATTTTCTAGATTTATTTTCCATTTGAGGTTTCGTTCGGTGGCGTGATCCTTGTGTCTATTTAATAAGTCGCTTCTTTGTTGGGGTAATCTATAAATCGTCCAATATGGCACAATATTATTTTTTATATTTTTTTTATATTGTTATTTTTAAACGAAGTTGATTGATTGTTATTTTGTTCTTGGGGAGAAATTGGGGGAAACTGATGCGCTCTGCTTTGCTTGTCCCATTGCACAATACTTTTTATCGAATTTCGACGGGACCCTTTCTTCGCCGCGTTTGTGTGGTGTAATCACTCGGTTGACACCTGACTGCCATGCTAAATGGTCAATTCCGGCCAGAACTGACCTGCATATCAATCAGGCCATAACAGAGTGAAAGAGAAACTTTTAAGTTTGGCGTAAAATCGTCAGTGATCGAAATCATCAGTTGCAGTCCGCTGAAAATGAAATGAAGATCAAAATATGTGCATTACCGCTG